GCTTGGCCAGTGACAACACGGTGTTAGCCGTTGATACCAAACTACTAGTCAGGTCCATGTCGTCAGCACGCCGTTTCTTGGCCTTTGGTGCCGTTCCAATTTTCTCAGCAGCTGGTGGTGCTGATCGATTGGCGGGTGCTGGGCTGTCCAGTGCTTCCTCCTCTGAGCAATCCTCACCAAGAGGAGACAGGGCCAGGGGAAGAGAGGAAGCCGAGAGAGGGAGAGAGGAAGGCGAGAGAGGAAGAGAGGAAGAGAGAGAAGAGGTTGAGGGGGAATGAGGTACTAGTACAGCGGCAGGGGGGACACATGTTGCTTCGCCAGTGTTTGATGTCGTCGCCCTCTTCCTTATTGTTGAGTCTACAAAATTCATGCAACTCCATAAGTGCCATGCAGGAGCAGGAACACAGACGGTTCCGGAGCCACTCCGGGGTAACTTGGAGATGTGCTCCCTCTTCAGACGCACGTAAGTATCGCGTAGATACTTAAATTTCTTTTGACATTCGGCGGGTGATCTCAGCTGGAGATCCTTGGCAGGTTGCGACTCTGCCACCTTCAGCCATGCACGCTCCTTCATGAATCTGGAAATAGCATGCACATGAAACAAAGAGGATTACAGGTATAAAGTAGATGAAGTGGTCGATGCGGAGACAACAATTTCAAGTAAGTAATGAACAATTGCAATCGAACTTTATACATAGGGCACATTTCCTGCCATGCCAAGAACGAGGCTGGTACTCGATATTATGTATCCCTGAGTACAGTGTGTGCGACCATGTTATGATCAAGCCTGTCCCAGTCACTGGCGGCATTTCATATTCCGAACAAAAGTGTTGAAACCCCAATCAAGCCATCCAAGTTCCACCCAATTCTGCATGCTATTATATAAGGCAGATCGATGTAATTACTGCGGTGTAGTGTGCAAATTCCAGCACATTCAACACTGGACAACTACATTGTAGACTAGAATAAATTTCTGTACATGTAAAATGGACAAGAAATGTGAAAGAACAAATCTACCTGTATGCAAGCAAGACAAGTAACTCACTTGTCCTTGTTATGCTTTGAGGTTTTATCCCACAGACATCCGTACCGTCGCACCTCTTCAACAAAGTACTCCTCGTGGCTCGGCTTTCCTTCCACTACACTCACTTCAGGTGACTCGGGCTCGGGCTGAGAGTGAAAGCTGGAGTCTTGGAGCATCTCAGAAAACGATTGTGAATCTTCGAACGTAGCCATTGTCACAATACAAGGTGTGGAAATGAAAATCAGTAATACCAAGAGTACATAAACTGTTTAGGTACTCTTGGTAACACCGTACATGAAGAGTAGACAGCAAGGAAATGAAAGCCAAATACAAAAAGTCTTCCTTGTCAACAACATGTTCTCGAGCTCCGGGAAATAATTCAAAAAGCAACTCGTACGAAAAACATTTGCAGACAAAATACAATACACACAAAATAAATTGTGAACTCCTACGCGCCCGTGCCGCCATTGTTTTTACCATGGTGAAGCGCTGTCGTCTCGCATCGCTGTCGCGAAAAGTTGAACTTGGCCAACTTTGGGGGTTATGTACTCTTGCCGTCACCAAGAGTACATAACCCCCCTCCCATATACTCTGCTGTCCCGACCGAATTTCAAGTTGACGTCATTATTTACGATTGAATGCTCCTTGCACCAGTGATTTACAACATGACATTGTGTACGGGTGTCAACGCATCACGCGTTTATCTTTGCAATAGGGAGGTTCTGCTATACGTGAAACGTAGAGAAATCACGTAGAGAGCAGGTGTCTGGGTTAGAGTCTACGGCTTCGCGTGTTTTGGCTCCAGATTTCTACGCGGAGATGGGGTTCTCTACGTTGTGGCACACGCAGAGAAAATGCGTACGGATTTGCTGGGTATCGATCAACTGCATCCAGAAAACTGCCAAATATGGAAGGGGAAATTCCCAGTACACATTCCACGTGACTTCTCTAGGTGAAACGTAGAGCAGAACAGCATTTCTTTACGTTACGGGAACGCGAAGAAAGTTCGCGTGATTCTTTGCGTCGCGTTCCCAAAACGTAGAGCAGAACCTCCCTATTACTTTGTACAGGATTCCGGATTCGTCTGATAATCCGTGTACAGTGCGCATTGCATCATAAAAATAACGTCAACTTGAAATTCTGTCGGGACAGCACCCATAGTCGAGTTGCACACTCTGGGGGGGGGGGGGGGGGGGGGGGCTATGATTCTACTCTTGGTGTCACCTACTGACAATGACATCACTCTCTATGATTCTACTCTTGGTGTCACCTACTGACAATGACATCACTCTCTATGATTCTACTCTTAAGTCTTGGTGTCACCTACTGACAATGACATCACTCTCTATTGCAGATTGTTGTGCTGGTACATGTATGTGCAGATAGTGTGGCTAGTCGAGACCCGACCCGTCTCGGAGCACAAGGCTCAAGCACCGAGAGATCAAGCCAATGTGTAGTACAGTCATGTAGAATGTCCATCACAAGTGCCAGCAAGAGTACATGAAAACCAGAGTGTGCAGCTTGGGGCCTTTTCTGCTATGGGTGTCTGTCACGGCGAAATTCCGTGATTACATCATATTTGGCCCAGATCTGAGGCGGGAAATGGCGTAGTGCGTACGACTGAGCTGCAGTTGTGCAGAAAGAAACCTGCTTGAATCCTGCTTGTACGCACTACACTGACCCTGCGGGAATTTGCGGAAAAAACTCTCGAAAACTTGCGCAAGAAATTGCGGCAGAAAGTAACAAAAAATGCGACGAAAAGCGCGGTATGATGCAGAACTTGCCAGGAATTCACGGAATTATTTGCAGAAAATTGCGGATATGGGCCAAATAACGAAATTTGTTGCATCGTTTATCTACTCGGGAGTCGTACTGTGCAAATAACCTACATGTACATGATCATGGAAAGAACTGCGTGAAAAGTGCATAAAATGTGAGATATAGTGCAGAAAACAACGAAAAATGCGGGAAATAGCGGATTTTGCTGAAAATTGCGGGTTTGGGCCAAAATCGCGAAATTTGTTGCATCCGTGGAATCGCGATTTCCTGGAGGGACAGACTACATCACTAAAATGATGTAATCACGGAATTTCGCCGTGACAGCAACCCATCCGAGCTGCACACTCTGGTTTTCATGTACTCTTGGTGCCAGCCTATACTAATGTTAAAAATTCCCGCCAAATTACTGAAACTTAGGGAAGAGAATGCAAGGTGGCAAGGTGTACTTTCTTACGTTGGCGTTCTACTGCCTTGGGAAGGCAGGTTCCCTCGCGGCATAGATTCCTAGCCGCACATGTGAACTATCCCAGTGTTTGCATGCAGGTCTAGCCTATAGCCTAGGGCTGCACAATGCCGGCTGTGGCTTTGACTATCTTGATTGGATTTCATTGAGCAGCACGCGGGCAATTAATGATCATGACAATCACATATGAATCAAGTCCAAGCAACAGAATGCCCAAGAATTCAGTGAGGGGTTCAGCTTGAGGTAGCAGAACAATGCATCTCATCTGTTCATCATCGTATTGCCTTTACAATGTAGTTTCATGCACTGGATGCTGCCATAAGGCTAGGGTAGTCAGTGAGAATGAATCATGCATGCTTGCGTTCGACGTAGCCGCTGACGGCTAGAGGCATTCTCCATGCGGAGGTATTCGTTGCAGGCAGCTCACCGTTTAGTGCTCACACTGGCAAAGGCCGGTAGTGCTGATACGAAAGCAGAGGAAGACACGAGCACAGTGTGCAGGCTCGGTGACTGGAATGAGCAAGACAGCAGATCCAGCAGATCACAACTGCGGGTCCAGCGTCAGAAAGCACGCATGCATATACTCGTACACACAGCTGGTTGACCGTGTATGGAGTATCTGCAGGGCGATGCAAGCAGTGACCATGGCAGCAGGGAATCCATGGCAACATGGCGGTATCCAGCGGTAACCAGGTTGTTAGGATGGTACTTGACGAGAAAGATGTAAATAATCGGCCTCTCGATAGTGCCAACATGCCATTGTTTAGTTTCCTTCCTTGGCGTACTTTATGTGATGTGCAATGTCACCCAAGGCTCCATAACCTGCACCCAGATAACAACAGCAATCAAGACTGCCTCTGTAGTCTGCACTGAACAGCCGAAAGCGTACCAAGCTAACGTAATCATGCGTATACGTATCGGTAGTACCGTATGGCTTGTTTTGCATGTGCACTCACTGCACTGTCCAGTGGGCTTGATAGGCGAGTTGCTGCCGACTGTGGTGCGTTGGTGAAATGAGTCCAAAAAGAACTGCAGAGCATCTTGTGCAGTCATCTTCACCTCCTCACTGGCTTACCAGGCAGTGGGGTAGTTTACGGTTTCAGCTTTGCCAGCTCAGCTGCCAGCAGAGCACAGTCGGCCCTGTGCTTCATCAGAAAGTGGCCATTCAAGTGGAACACTGGGATGTCGTACTGGTATCTGCCCATCCACACCTCATTACCGGCCGCCGTGATATCCACAGTGCGCAGCGTGTATGCCCCATCATCGATGGCATCTTCAATGTCGTCCAAGGCCGTCACACACAGTGTGCATCCTGCCTTCGTGAACAGGGTCAGCACAGGGGTCTCCAGGCCACTGGACGTCTTGGAGCTGCAAGGACGAAGTGCACGCTGCGGCCCAAGCCCAAGAGCGCTTGCACGACGTAGAGATGACGAGCATATGCTGTACAACTTGAGTCCCGAGGCCATAGATCTTCTTCAACAGCAGATCTACCAGCACCTTCAAGAAACAAAACCAGAACAAAACTGAGGCGAAGCAAAGAAGTGTTGAGACGTCAGGAAATTCGAAAGCAGGTAGGAAAATGTTCAAATGTTCAAAAGTAAATTTTCATCTGGGGATTCCCCACATGCATGCAGTGCATGTGTACAGCTTGCACGTGATTCTTTTGAACGGCACATTTTATTGCTAGCTGTTCATGATTTGTTTGAGATTGCAGGATCGTCGAGGATAGTACTAGTAGTGACTGTCTACGTATTATTTTGTCTCCTGTCGATCTCCTCTTCATTCAGAAGTTACATTCTTGGTCCTGGGAGGCGAAGTGATTTGTAGCTGTGTTTTCATATTACCCTCTTGCCTGGGTAAGATCAAATAATTGATACTAGTAGCGTTGTTATTCCCAGAGACGGTCATTATTTTGTTGGAGAGAATCAGGCGAAATCAGTATATTTTGTCAAGGAATTGCTACATGTACATGGACCGATAATTTTTCAGGATGTCAACTCTTCTGGGCATGGCCAACTGCTGCAGACTGTGCGGAGCGTCGAGAGGCTTTTCATGCAATGGCAGGGTACTTAGCAGTTTCGCTCAGGCGAGATTCTGTCTGGTCGTCAATAGCCAGCGATATGCTTCTCACTCTGCTGATCAGCATGGACTGACAGGCTACGAAGCACGTTGTGAGATAAGGGTACACCATGCCAAAGCGCGCGTCAAGATCAAAGATTGGACACGGGCAGACAAGGTCAGCTATGCACTATGAATGCAGAAGTGTTTATTAACACATTAAAAACATTCACTAAGATAGTAAGAGTGAGCACAAACTCAAAGTTCTTCGACAACTACATTTTAAAAAGCTTCACAAGTAAGCTTTCGTGCCTTCTCTCCAGATGATGTACAGGCAAGAACAGAGGAACAGGAGCAATGAGTTATGTACAGCAAAGCGGTGATAGACCAGCGCAAAGAAGAATGGCTAAATACAGCAACGGTACGATGGGTGACCAATACACATAAAAAATGATGACGAAAAGGTTTTAAAAAAGTTTACTTGTGAAACCTTTCAAAATGTTGCTGTTGAGGAACCTGAAGCGTGTGCTCTTTTCTTAGTGTTCTAGCATTTCTGTCTCCGAGGAACCTTCTTGAGTTGATGCCGAAAAATGACACATCCCTATAGCGAGCTGGGCTTGGTGTAGGGCGATGTTCTAGGTGAAATGCAGCCAAAGAGAGGGCTAGGCTGCATGACCTGATCATAGAATACCGGTGGTCTATAGAATTCGTAGATTTTCTATGAATTCATTTGAAAATGTTTTCAACACAAACTCATCATTTCAAAATCTTGGCCAGGTTTTCATCCATTCTCGTTAGGAAGACCTGCAGGTGACAAAGTGATAGCATGGTGAAACCAATGCAATGTTTTTATTTTTGGGATTTGTACTTGTCTGGAAGAGATATCATCCATTGCAGTGAAACCTGTCCAAGACGACCGCTCAAGGGACCTTCAAAACGTGGTCTCTGTTGCCAGGTAGTCTCCTTGTCCAGAGTCATTTGACTGGAAATAGCATCCCAGTGGTCTTCTAGGACGGGTGGTCGCCTTATCCAAGTAGTGGTCGCCTTAACAGGTTTACTGTGTAACTTATGATGTGCTCTATTGTTTTCTTGCTCCCTTTCCACTATGAGCAGCTTGACAGGATTGCTGATTTTGTGTCGAATATGTCCAACCGATCTATTTCTACGGAGGTGCGCACTATGAACGACATCATGAAAGCGTTTGGCACACGCACAGAATACGTGCCGAACGCATTCAAGCTGCTGGACAAGGTAATATATGCGTGCGTGTGTGTGTGTGTGTGTGCATGCGCGTGTGTGTGTGTGTGTGCACGTGTGTGCGTGTGTGCTGGACCCCAGGTGCCCCGATGCGGTTGACCAACGGTCTGAATTTGTTTCCGTGTCCCGTGGCGACTGGTTATCCCGTTAGTCTCGCGCAAACCGCGACCTTTTTAGATGTACCGTATTTTTCGGAGTATAGTGCGCACTTTAGATGTGCTATTTTAGGCCCTAAATCGCAGGTGCGCACTATGCTCCGAATATGAAATGCATGTACTTCAATGAAGATTGAAGTGCGCACCCCCAATGAAGTTTGGGGGTGCGCGTTATACAAAGGTGCGCACTATACTCCGAAAAATACGGTATTATCGTTTTCAGGAAGGGATCTCCACAATGAAAGGCAAATAACCATACAGTCAACATATAGTCAACATGGAGACATTCAATGTAACAGTACTGCAAATTTTGATTTTGTGACAATGGCGCTTGTATACAGTGGAAGTTGGGAGTCTGGACACGGTTCCTTCTATGCGTGTGTGTGTGTGTGTGTGTGAGTCTGAGAAAGAGAAGAAAGATTATGGTCACACACATCTTTCTTCTCTTTCTCACACTCTTCCTGACTTTTCTTTCATTCTCCTGGGTGGTTACCAACAGCCAGTGCATGCCGGAGTATGTGGTGTGATGTGTGTGTGAAAAAAAGACCAAAAAGTAGGGATTCACTGGCCAGAAAAAAGCCACTTCATAGCTGTGTGGTGCAGACCAGGCTGAATAGTGGCGGTCAATTCTTCAGCCTTGCAAGCTGTTGAATGGTGCAATCCCAGCACAAGCTGCTATGGCTTCTGCTGTAGCATCTCTATCATCGCCTCCGGCGATGGGGGTCCAATGGTCCAATGGTGTGTGTGTGTGTGTGTGCGCGTGCGCGCGTGGGTGGATGGACGCGTGTTTTTTTGTGTTTTTGTGACTGTGTGTGTGTGTGTGTGTGTGTGTGTGTGTGTGTGTGTGTGGTGTGTGTGTGTGTGTGCTTATCTTCCTTACACATGCAAGATGCTAGCTGATGGGAGGAAACCCAACTCTCGCACACTTGTGCAGCTGTTCAACATGTGCGCCGTGCATTTTCCGGATCACTACAACCACGTACTGCACCTACACCGCATGCTGCATCGGCGCCAGATCAAGGTTGATCTGCCTGTGGCCAACGCAGCCATCAAGGCCTTTGCCAAATATGGAGATTCGACCATGGCACTGAAGGTATTGAATGGTCATGAATTTAGATTTAAACCGCTTTGTCCTCCTTCGAGCGGTTGGCCTATAATGTGTGGACGGGTTCCACAGGCTTTCTTGGAGATGCAAGACGTTAGCGCAATGAACAGGAAACTCTGTGCGCCCACGATGAGAACCTTGCACTTTGTAGCTATCATGTGTTTCAGGCAATCTATTGAGAAGGATACTAGCAAAGAGAACACTCATTGTAACTCAGTATAAATACAAAAGAAAGCGCTCAATGAATCAGTTTAACTAAGCGCACGTTGTGCAGCGTGAGTGCACGTAGCGCCCTGCTCATTACGTTACAACTGATAATGCTGGGGTTACGATTCACGCCCCGCGCCCTGTGATGAAGTCATTTTCTGTTTATATCTTTTGCTTTTTGCCTGTAGATCTTTTTGGACATGAGCAAGAAAGACATGACAGTCGCTGGTGACGAAGAACCAGGCTTTGTCAGGGTGCCATCGTCCAGTAGTAGAAGTAGGGATAGTGAGGAATCGGATTTGGATGGTGGACTTCAACCTGGTCAGAAGATCAGCGAGTCAGGTGGTTCTGGCATGTTTGAGGTACCTGTGGGCTTGGTCGCCGACTTGTTTACGCCGTACGCCGAGCTGAGACCGGACGTCTCCACCTACGTCTCCTTGCTCAATGTAAGGTCTTTTTTCGGTGTACAGTACTACAATGTATAGATTTGTAGAATTTGAGCCCAAGTCTTATGCTGCCCTTACAGCTGGGCTATGTGGGACATGCTGCCCTTACAGCTGAGCTATGTGGTACATGCTGCCCTTACAGCTGGGCTATGTGGTACATGCTACCCTTACAGCTGGGCTATGTGGTACATGCTGCCCTTACAGCTGGGCAATGTGGGACATGCTGCCCTTACAGCTGGGCTATGTGGTACATGCTGCCCTTACAGCTGGGCCATGTGGTACATGCTGCCCTTACAGCTGGGCTATGTGGTACATGCTGCACTGTACAGTGCTGTTGGTCGGCGAAGAACTGGGGGCTCTGCCTCCTAGCCTAGACCGTTCTTATTTTCATGTATTTAAGGAGGCTCCAACCTTCTGCGCTGCGCAGCCGGCCTGGCGCTCTGTTTTTTGCAGGCAAAAATCTTGTTTTTGCCGATAAGTGCGAAAAGTTGGGAAAGTCCCATCTCAACTTACTAAAATTTGAACTCCGCGATCGACAGTCATATCAGAGAATATTGTTTCTTTCTTCACCTGTAGTCTTCCCTGGGCCCCATCGAGGTTCCTGTTGTTCTCTCTTCCGTTGTGTCAGTGGGTATAGCAGGGCATGTTTTCAAAAGCATCGCTGGTACGTGGTGTGAGCAAGAAGTTGACTTCACAGCTCGATTTCTCGAGATCCTGAATAATTTTGCTTGACGAAAAAATGACCAAGGAGAACGGAGCCAAGCGTCTCGATGGCTGTGTAACACCAGGGACCAAAACCTACTGTAAGCGCGTTTTGCAGAGAGAGACTGAAGTGGGTGCACAGACTCTGGTAAGTGGATCCACTTCTAATTCTCAAGTGGCGAAATATATTGCTACGCTGAAAACATTGCAGTCTTGAGTGAGTGGTAAATCGTTGGTGAGCTACTGCTCAGTGACTTGGGCTATTTACGAAAGCTGTGACCTGTCAGCTGCCAACGTCGCCAGCAGTAAGTCATCACCTGCGTCCACTTGAATTATAATGTGCATAAAATGCAGCACTGAAATTGAGTATGTTGTTTTGCAGTACTATTCTCTATTGTCAGAGTGTGAAGTATTTTGTAAATGCTGTGTTGTACAGCACCAGTGATTTGAAAATATTCCTACACTACTCGCACCAGTCCTATTATGATAAATGCATGCACCTGTACCCATAAGCACCGTGCATGCACATACGCAGGCACGCGTGTGAGCCTACATCTTGTGTGTGTGTGCACGCGCGCGCGCAGTACACGTGTGTGTGTGTGTGTGTGTGTGTGTGCGCACGCGTGCACAAGTGCATGGACAGCAGAATATGGTAACTAAACTCAAGAGCATGCATTTTACATGTGGGCGTATGCTATTGCAGGTGCGCGTATATGACGTACATGTATTTGTGTGTGCAAGGGGTCTTGTTTGTGAGGGTGAGTATGTGCATGTAAGCGTACATGTACATGTACATGTATGTATCAATGTGGGCAATGCGCATGCACCCACATACACTTGTGGTTGTTCCATGTTATTGGGAATAGTATTATGATTATACCTAATGAGTGCTACAATTACTAGCACTAGTAGCAGTCGTTCATTGCCAATATTGAGTTGAACCTGCATCTACATTGTACATGTACTACAAACATGAAACTGTGAAGTTATTGGCCCAGAATATACAGGGGCGTGCTCGGCCCCCCAACTAGGGGGGTGCACGGAAGCCGAGGGGAGCCCCCCCCCGGCAATTTTCTGCAATTTGTTTGCAACCTTTCTTGAATTTTAGAGCATATTTGCATACATTACAATTGCCTTGGATCAGATTGAACATTTTGGGGGGGGGGTGCACGTGCCCCCCGTGCCCATCGCCGAGCACGCGCCTGATATAATAATAATATTATTGTTATCCTCCTCAAGCTCTTTGCCTGTTGCCTTATGAGAAATGCTAGGAGTGCACGATTCCAAGAGTTGTGATGCAAAGCTGGTCTGAACTGCGTTCAGGGTCAGTAGGCCTCGGTCTGGATCATGAATAACGCTGTGCATGGATCATGCCGATATCCAGATCAAGGGCTAAAAAGCCCAGGAACCATGGCCTCATCTAGTCTCCATGTATACTATAACAATCTGGAGGACCATTCAATGCTTTGACACAAAAATGGGAGTGATACCACAAGGAATGATCACATTACCTGAAAAATAGCAATTCCAAGAATGGTGGAAAATCGGCCAATTTTCTGTCCTATTTTTATTTTTGTAGGTCTAAAATGCATGGTAACCCCCCTAAAATTATATATTTCTAGTTTCTATGAAGTATGAGGATCCCAAAAATAGAATAAAAAGGGCATGTCTATGAAGAAATTATGAAGCTGTGCACCCAATTGTACTTTGCGGACGGGCATTTCTGGGACGTTCATTTTTGTACCAAAATTGCTATTTTTCTGAGTAGTCAATGCTGATTGCCAGTTTTTCTTGCTCAAATGCTTCACTGTGATGTGTGAAAGGACTTGCAATCACAAAAAGAAGCCAGACAACTGGTAAATCTGAAATATGACCCCAAAACAAGCAAATTTAGGCCGAAATCGATAAATACACCCACCCCTAGAAATACACCTCAAACAGCCTTATCTCCGCGGAAACACCCCCTGAATTTTTTTGTGGAGTAACATGGGATGATATAGAGCACACTCATCCACAAAAAGGAGGGGGTTTATGAAGAAAATAAATCAACCCCAAAGGGTTGGAGCCTCCTTAATACACTATAATTATAGTCCATGCACAGTTGTGTCGTTCTTCGGCGCCTGACGGTACTGTACTTTGTTGAAAATCCATGACAATGTGATTGGAAAGATGATTGAAGAAAAATCCAAAGTCAACCCCAGGCAATTAGTAGCAGTCACTACTATCAAAGCAGATCATTATTTGCAATAGCGCAACTTGGAAAGCCGGCTAAAATTCCAGACCATCCCTACTTGTAAAGTAGGTCGATATTAACCGGAAGGTGCGTCTACAAAGACCGTAGACGGCACTCGTCCAGAAATGGCAAAGCCCCGGATCGCCTACGCAAATATGAGGCCCGGCGCCTGATGGTACTGTTCTACTGTACTACTGCACTGTGTGTTGGATAGATAGTACTCTGGCCTGTCTTACTGGCTACTTTTGAAATCACGTGATTGGGCATGTGCTCTCTAGCTCTCTGTCTGTGGCCTTGCTTAGCCGAGTATGTAAAGTCCACCGTTCCCATCTTTCTCTCTGGCATGTGTTTCCATCATTCTCTCTGGAACGTGATTCCATCATTCTCTCTGGCGTGTGTTTCCATCATTCTCTCTGGCTTGTGATTCCATCATTCTCTCTGGCATGTGATTCCATCATTCTCTCTGGCTTGTGTTTCCATCAGTCTCTCTGGCTTGTGTTTCCATCATTCTCTCTGGCTTGAGTTTCCATCATTCTCTCTGGCATATGATTCCATCATTCTCTCTGGCTTGTGATTCCATCATTCTCTCTGGCATGTGATTCCATCATTCTCTCTGGCATGTGATTCCATCATTCTCTCTGGCTTGTGATTCCATCATTCTCTCTGGCATGTGATTCCATCATTCTCTCTGGCTTGTGTTTCTGCCATAGGCTGCTGGACGTGATTCTCGGCATCGACTCTTCCGGCCGGCTAAGTTCCTGGCTGTGTACCTGCCCAAGTTGGAGCTGCAGTGGACACCGGAGCGGCGTCGACGCTATTCCCTGCAGATGGCTGATGCCGTGTGGGAGCACATGACTCAGCGCACTGACGTGCAGCTGGGACCTGAACTCTTTGTAGCCTATCTAGCAGTAAGTGGCTCGCTCTGCACTCGATCATGAACCATAATCACAGCGCGCTGTGACAAGAATCTACTGAGGCCTGCTGCAAGCTCTGACGTGTTCTGTTTCCCCGGGTCATTGCTGCGCAGGAGTTTGTTTATATTCATTTTACTTCACCAACATGACGTTCTACATGATGATGGCAATTTGCCGAAACGTCGAACACGATTCTGTGAAATGAAATGAGTTGTGACTTTGCAGTGTCAAGGACATAAGCATGTGTCCTCACCAATTCTCTTTGAGTTATGAAGCTGCAGCTGTACTACGTACAACATGTACAGTGAGACCTGTCCAAAACGACCGCTGCTCAGGGGACCTTCAAAACACGGTCTCTGTTACCAGGTGGTCTCCTTATCCAGGGTCGTTTGACTGGAAATAGCATCCCTTGGTCCTGGTTTCAGTGGTCTTCTAGGACAGGTGGTCGCCTTGACAGGTTTTGATGTACAGGCATTTCATGCCGGTTCTCACTGGCCGTGATGGCCGGTTCTCACTGGCCGTGATGGCCGGTTCTCACTGGCCGTGATGGCCGGTTCTCACTGGCCGTGATGGCCGGTTCTCACTGGCCGTGATGGCCGTTTCTCACTGGCCGTGATGGCCGGTTCTCACTGGCCGTGATGGCCGGTTCTCACTGGCCGTGATGGCCGTTTCTCACTGGCCGTGATGGCCGGTTCTCACTGGCCGTGATGGCCGGTTCTCACTGGCCGTGATGGCCGGTTCTCACTGGCCGTGATGGCCGGTTCTCACAGGCCGTGATGGCCGGTTCTCACTGGCCGTGATGGCCGGTTCTCACTGGCCGTGATGGCCAGTTCTCACTGGCCGTGATGGCCGGTTCTCACTGGCGGTGATGGCCGGTTCTCACTGGCCGTGATGGCCGGTTCTCACAGGCCGTGATGGCCGGTTCTCACAGGCCGTAATGGCCGGTTCTCACAGGCCGTGATGGCCGGTTCTCACTGGCCGTGATGGCCGGTTCTCACTGGCCGTGATGGCCGGTTCTCACTGGCCGTGATGGCCGGTTCTCACTGGCCGTGATGGCCGGTTCTCACTGGCCGTGATGGCCGGTTCTCACTGGCCGTGATGGCCGGTTCTCACTGGCCGTGATGGCCGGTTCTCACTGGCCGTGATGGCCGGTTCTCACTGGCCGTGATGGCCGGTTCTCACTGGCCGTGATGGCCGGTTCTCACAGGCCGTGATGGCCGGTTCTCACTGGCCGTGATGGCCGGTTCTCACTGGCCGTGATGGCCGGTTCTCACTGGCCGTGATGGCCGGTTCTCACTGGCCGTGATGGCCGGTTCTCACTGGCCGTGATGGCCGGTTCTCACTGGCCGTGATGGCCGGTTCTCACTGGCCGTGATGGCCGGTTCTCACTGGCCGTGATGGCCGGTTCTCACTGGCCGTGATGGCCGGTTCTCACTGGCCGTGATGGCCGGTTCTCACTGGCCGTGATGGCCGGTTCTCACTGGCCGTGATGGCCGGTTCTCACTGGCCGTGATGGCCGGTTCTCACTGGCCGTGATGGCCGGTCCTCACTGGCCGTGATGGCCGGTCCTCACTGGCCGTGATGGCCGGTCCTCACTGGCCGTGGTGGCCGGTCCTCACAGGCCGTGATGGCCGGTCCTCACAGGCCGTGATGGCCGGTCCTCACAGGCCGTGATGGCCGGTCCTCACAGGCCGTGATGGCCGGTCCTCACAGGCCGTGATGGCCGGTCCTCACAGGCCGTGATGGCCGGTCCTCACTGGCCGTGATGGCCGGTCCTCACTGGCCGTGATGGCCGGTTCTCACTGGCCGTGATGGCCGGTTCTCACTGGCCGTGATGGCCGGTTCTCACTGGCCGTGATGGCCGGTTCTCACTGGCCGTGATGGCCGGTTCTCACTGGCCGTGATGGCCGGTTCTCACTGGCCGTTATGGCCGGTTCTCACAGGCCGTGATGGCCGGTTCTCACTGGCCGTGATGGCCGGTTCTCACTGGCCGTGATGGCCGGTTCTCACTGGCCGTGATGGCCGGTTCTCACTGGCCGTGATGGCCGGTTCTCACTGGCCGTGATGGCCGGTTCTCACAGGCCGTGATGGCCGGTTCTCACTGGCCGTGATGGCCGGTTCTCACTGGCCGTGATGGCCGGTTCTCACTGGCCGTGATGGCCGGTTCTCACTGGCCGTGATGGCCGGTTCTCACTGGCCGTGATGGCCGTTTCTCACTGGCCGTGATGGCCGGTTCTCACTGGCCGTGATGGCCGGTTCTCACTGGCCGTGATGGCCGTTTCTCACTGGCCGTGATGGCCGGTTCTCACTGGCCGTGATGGCCGGTTCTCACTGGCCGTGATGGCCGTGATGGCCGGTTCTCACTGGCCGTGATGGCCGGTTCTCACTGGCCGTGATGGCCGGTTCTCACTGGCCGTGATGGCCGGTTCTCACAGGCTGTGATGGCCGGTTCTCACTGGCCGTGATGGCCGGTTCTCACTGGCCGTGATGGCCGGTTCTCACAGGCTGTGATGGCCGGTTCTCACTGGCCGTGATGGCCGGTTCTCACTGGCCGTGATGGCCGGTTCTCACTGGCCGTGATGGCCGGTTCTCACTGGCCGTGATGGCCGGTTCTCACTGGCCGTGATGGCCGGTCCTCACTGGCTGTGATGGCCGGTTCTCACAGGCCGTGATGGCCGGTTCTCACAGGCCGTGATGGCCGTTTCTCACTGGCCGTGATGGCCGGTTCTCACAGGCCGTGATGGCCGGTTCTCACTGGCCGTGATGGCCGGTTCTCACTGGCCGTGATGGCCGGTTCTCACTGGCCGTGATGGCCGGTTCTCACTGGCCGTGATGGCCGGTTCTCACTGGCCGTGATGGCCGGTTCTCACTGGCCGTGATGGCCGGTTCTCACTGGCCGTGATGGCCGGTTCTCACTGGCCGTGATGGCCGGTTCTCACTGGCCGTGATGGCCGGTTCTCACAGGCCGTGATGGCCGGTTCTCACAGGCCGTGATGGCCGGTTCTCATAGGCCGTGATGGCCGGTTCTCACTGGCCGTGATGGCCGGTTCTCACAGGCCGTGATGGCCGGTTCTCACAGGCCGTGATGGCCGGTTCTCACAGGCCGTGATGGCCGGTTCTCACAGGCCGTGATGGCCGGTTCTCACAGGCCGTGATGGCCGGTTCTCACTGGCCGTGATGGCCGGTTCTCACAGGCTGTGATGGCCGGTTCTCACATGCTGTGATGGCCGGTTCTCACTGGCCGTGATGGCCGGTTCTCACAGGCCGTGATGGCCGGTTCTCACTGGCCGTGATGGCCGGTTCTCACTGGCCGTGATGGCCGGTTCTCACAGGCCGTGATGGCCGGTTCTCACTGGCCGTGATGGCCGGTTCTCACTGGCCGTGATGGCCGGTTGTCACAGGCTGTGATGTGCCGGTTCTCACTGACCGTGATGGCCGGTTCTCACAGGCCGTGATGGCCGGTTCTCACAGGCCGTGATGGCCGGTTGTCACAGGCTGTGATGTGCCGGTTCTCACTGACCGTGATGGCCGGTTCTCACAGGCCGTGATGGCCGGTTCTCACAGGCCGTGATGGCCGGTTCTCACAGGCCGTGATGGCCGGTTCTCACTGGCCGTGATGGCCGGTTCTCACTGGCCGTGATGGCCGGTTCTCACTGGCCGTGATGGCCGGTTCTCACAGGCCGTGATGGCCGGTTCTCACAGGCCGTGATGGCCGGTTCTCACTGGCCGTGATGGCCGGTTCTCACTGGCCGTGATGGCCGGTTCTCACTGGCCGTGATGGCCGGTTCTCACAGGCTGATGAACTGATGACAGTCATGTTGATATGCGTACCTATATGCTTGGTGTCGTGTGTAGCGGCTGCTGAGAGTTAGAATCATGTGCTTAGCTGCATATCCCAGCTATGGTATATACAGAAGCCTTGCTTGGTAGTTTAACATGTTTTTCGATTTTGACAGCATGTTACAAGGCGAGGACGCGTAGTGCTCCTGACTACAACCATAACCCGGTTGGCAGAGTCCCGGTCTTGCGGCCATTTGAACCGTATTGGGAAAACCCAGGTTCAGACCCTCGTTACTCTACGGGTTGGTAGGATTTTTTTAATTTTCGTTTTTTGTGTTGTAGAACGGCAACACGACGACTTCTACAACACAAAAAAACGAAAATTAAAAAAATCCTACCAACCCGTAGAGTAACGAGGGTCCGAACCTGGGTTTTCCCAATACGGTTCAAATGGTCGCAAGACCGGGACTCTGCCAACCGGGTTATGGTTGTAGTCAGGAGCACTACGCGTCCTCGCCTTGTAACATGCTGTCAAAATCGAAAAATATCCCAGCTAGCGGTGGGCCGTAGTGCTTCAGTTGTCACTTAGCTAGGAGACACAGGAGACAAACGCACTGCCAAACCATTCCCGACAGGCATGTTAGGGAAGGACCATTAAATGTTATGATGTGCCCCCTATTATTACGGGTTCTAAGGGCGCGTTCGAATTGTCACTCTTTGACTTTTCGAGGAGTTTCGTATTTCTGAAAGGGTGGCCTTATTGGGCTCTTCAGAAAACGAAGCTCCTCGAAACTCCACAACCTCACCCGATGGGAGAGGTGGATTAGTTTCGAAGAGTTTGGAATAGCTACGTCACGTAGTACGTGGAGATGGTCGATCTGATTGGACGTCATCATCGCCATGACAATTCCACTGAAAAACTCTAAAATGATAGAAACCGTTCTAATGGGACACTTCAACTAATCTCTTTATAAAATTTGTTTGAACAGTTGATGAAGACAAATCGAACGCGCCCTTAGGTAGCTGCCACAACGCAGTGGACTCTACTGTTGCACATGTATGCAGTCCTTCGATTGTTCAGAACCGGCACACACAGAATACGGAATTTTGTGTTGTTCTTCTCCGCCCCTCTTCTCCCTCCCTGATCGTTAGGCCTATAGAGATGGCGGACGGGTAGACTTCATGCCCTTACCCAAAGACTTCAACACGGAACGGCACAAGCAGCTGATGCTTCAGAAAGGTAAATCCAACGACGTGTGCTCCAGTCTCTTTGTGTTCCTTCTTGCTCGTGCTCTTCTCCATCGAAAGAACAAGAGATGGGTCTCCTTCTCATCTTTCCCCAGCATGCGAGTAGAGTGTTACAGTAATCTCCGGTGGCAAAGAACTGAGGGGTCAGAGTTGTAGCCTAGGCCGTTCATATTTATTTTCATGCGGAAATCTCTATGTAGCTGATCCACCATGTACATACGGGTATACAGCACCTGGTAAAATTCTAGCCTTTTCTTTCTTGCACTCTTCTGCATTTCCCATCCTCTGTCCGCTGGTCTCCGACTGTTCTGCGCCCAGGGCAACTGAGGCGCTACGACGCATCGCACGAGCTGATGAAGATGACGGGAAGCAAGACTGCGGCTGATTCCGATCAGACGTACAAAGTGTCGCTGGACGACCATCTCGACTTGGTGTACCCGGATGACGACGACGACGCCAAGGCTGCCTTCTGGACGGACAACTTTGAGGCGCTGAAGGAGCCGCTCACCGGCGACGAGCAGGCCAAGCAGGACAAGAAGATGGTGGTGCCGCTGGGCGACCCGGCCGAGTTCCTGCGCATGATGACGGCGATGAGCGTGGGCCCCAGTCCCGCCGTGTTCAACGTGCTGTGGCAGTGCCGTGTCGCCGCCATCACTGGTGGTCCCGTACACTCACGGCAGCCGCGCAAGTGAGTACCATATTTTCCGGAGTACTTGTATAAGCCGCACTTTGAACACCCAGAATTCACCCAAAAAATGGGCGCGCGGCTTATGCTCCGATGATCAAATCAACGGTGATAAATAGGATAGATGTCTGTATTTCGTGGCAAAACAATGGGGGTACGGGTTACAATCCAGTGCGGCTTATACTCCGGAAAATACGATACCAGAACTAACTTGCACCGGCCTATTTCTGTTGCTGTGTGTGGCTCAGTTCAGCCTCTGCCGGTCGTGTCCTGCATGCACTCTCTTCCCCATCATGCTGCAGTATTGCTATCGCGGCGCTGCACTCTGACACCAGATATACTGCATGGTGGTGTACTGCAGAACGGCTCATTTGGCAGGCAATTTTTTTGCGTTTTCGGCTTTTCGCCTCAACTTTTCGGAATCAGGACCAATTTGCGATGAAATATTTTGCGCTCCGAGTTTCAGCAATCAAAAAAGGAAGATGACTAGTACATGTGCGGTAGTGTGCATGCAGAATTTTGATTGGCGTGGCAAAACGTTAGCGAAATCGCTAAAATATCACCGGCGCTAAAATTAGCCATTTTACAGTACTGTGCATGTAAATTGTGATGTGAGCTCTCAGAACTAATTTGCTCTTTTTACCAGATGGCCTCAATTTATTCTTTCTATCTATTTGTGCAGATTCATTAATTTTTGAAGGATGTGAGAAGTAAGAAAAAGGGAAGAAATCATTATGCCATAAACATTTTGAGTTTTGTAGACTCCAATGCTGCCCACTGCACATCCCCACGGCTCACTTTCTCCGTCACTCAGTCTCTCTCTCTCTCTCTCTCTCTCTCTCTCTCTCTCTCTCTCTCTCTCTCTCTCTCTCTCTCTCTCTCCCCATCTCGAGCCGTCACTTTGTGGTTTTTCAATTCTTCAATTTTCACATTGGTGATAGGGCATCCGGGAAAATTTGGTGAAACGTAAAGTAAATGTGCGCAGGGAAGAGGAAGGAAGAGAGAGAGAGAGAGAAAGAGAGAGAGAGAGAGAGACAGAGAGTGTGTGTGTGTGTGTGTGTGCGTGCGTGCGTGCGTGCGTGTGTGTTGTTAGGAGTATATAATTAAGGCTATCCTGTATTTTGTTATTTTGCAGGCCCGAGGTACTTGCAGCATTGGCCGCGCTCGACCCCACCGATTTGGTGAGGCAGATGGAAAAGTACCGCTGTGAACCAGACGAAAAATTCTTTTCCGTTCTGCTGCGTCACCACGCCATACTTCGAGACTATGAAGGTGCTCTGGTACGTTGGCTTCTCAGAGTGTTGTACTGTTCTAGAATCTATACACCTACTCTATAGAGGATATGCAATGCACCTTACATACTTCGTTTGCCACTCAAAGTTCTTCTATATAATGGAGTTTCTGTATGCACTTTACCCATACGTTTTGCCACTCAGGTACTAGTAGCTCTCATATAAAGGCGGATTTGACATCATTGCATATCCTCTATTCATGAGATTGATAATTGAGTTTTGTGGCCCTGCGTAGAGTTTGTCAAGTAGTTTGTCAGTTGGAGGGCTGCGCTGTCTTGTGAAGTGCATGTAGCACTTGTTTTTACATTGTTGGCACTTCACTCCTCTCGTTCTCACTCCAAACTGCTATTATGGCTACTTCGAAGTAAATGAAGTACCTGTATAAGAAATTGAGACTCCTCTCAACCCTTTACTTTAGCTAATATAATAAAATTAAAATGACTGCGACGGCATGTAAACATAGTGTTTGTGTACTCGCATGATTATTGCATATGCCCAAGTACTCTTTGCAGAAGTCGTGCTGGCGGCTTTGACCTTTATTTTCTTTGCCACACGATGCCAGAGCAATTAGCCATGGCCGATATGTGATTCTTTTTGCACGAGGAATTCGCGCAGCAAACGAACTCCTGGCGCGTCATTTTCTGGTGTGTCCTTGTTCGTAGTGGTCATGTCTCTGCACGTGTTATTGTTTATTTGCAGCGGTTTCTGGACACTGCTCAGCGGTTCGGAGTGCAGCTAAGTACGAAGCACTACCGTGAGCTGGCGCATGCATGCACGTCGCCAGAGCAAGGCTACGACATGCTTCTTGACATGCAGGTGAGCATGATGTCTCTGGTGGGCAATTCCACCTCTGCACTCAGTATCTTCATTAAGCTGCCCTGCCTTTCTCCTTCGTTCAATGCACGTATCACACTGTCCCGTGTATTCTGGTGCATGGTTACATGGGTGCCGTCACAATCGTATTTTTCCTGGCGGTGATGCAAGGTATACAAGACACTAACAAACGCCACACAAGTATATTATGCTTGTGTGGCATTTGTTCATGTAAGAACAACTGAGATTTCGGTTGGCTGAAAGTTCTTCACCTCTCGCAGGTGACATTCGACAGTTGCGGGTAATGAAATCTAACCTCAGGCATATGAACTTCTCATTTCTGTTGTCGGCCGGATTCAGCTCTGATTTCGTGGGCCATGCAGCATGTCAATAATAAATAATAATAATAACAATAATAATAAAACAGGTCGCGTAATGAAGCAGCATAACGATAGATGTGCACAGTCATGATGCCTGGTCCGCTTCTGTTCTGGGTTCACTACCCCGTGCGTTGCAGCCGCGAGCAAAACCAGCTCAATAATACTCAATGATAATTATGTTATCAGGCTGTACATGTAATGGCATGTTATGTCGCTGAAACAGAGTCGTCCTTGTAGTCCATGTAGTAGTAACAGTTCTGCCCTTTGTTTTCGTTACTCGCCACTGGTGACAGGAACATGGACTGAAGCCCGATGCTGGCACTTACGAGTGTCTTGTGGTGGCTGCTCTCAATCGTGCACACTACGCCTGGACACTTCAGATCTTGAACGTAAGTTTGTTTGACCACCGTGCCAGCCACTGTTGCAGCTGTTTGAATTGTGCTGCTGCTGCTGCTGCTACTGTTGCTACTCTTTCTGCTGCTGCTGCTGCTGCTCGTTCACGTACTGTGGGATTGCTGTGCAATAATAGTCAGCGATTAGACGAAGCAGGTTTTACCTGGTTGGACAAATTCCCAATTTTCGGCCGTAACTCTGAGTTTCACGGTTTTAACCGATCATCAGACAGCAACTTGACTAAAATTTTCAGAAGATATGATTAATATAAGCTGCAAGCTTGGATCATGGCGCGAATGAATGATCCGGGTTGATAGTGTGATATGAAATGCGGTTGTGATTTGTGATTGTGCGATTGTGATTTGCGCCTATATTTGCACCCCAGCACCCAACTTGAACTCACACAGTCACTTTCATATCACACTATCAACCCGGATCATTCATTCGCGCCATGATCCAAGCTTGCAGCTTATATTAATCATATCTTCTGAAAATTGTAGTCAAGTTGCTGTCTGATGATGGGTTAAAACCGTGAAACTCTACTACTACTACAGCAGAAACGCTTTAGATTCCTCTCAAGTGTGTGTACTAGGCTCAGTGTGTGTACTAGGCTCAGTGTGTGTACTAGGCTCAGTGTGTGCACTAGGCTCTGCACCTTGGCAGGGCATAGATTAACGGCCGGACATCGGACATTTTCCGGCCATTTTCGGCCACTGACCGGACGTTTTCAATTTCACCGGACATAGTGTCCGGTCAAAAAAGGAAAAAAAGAGCAGCGACCTTTCGACCTTTTTATGCAGAGTTGGGCTTTCTTCGGAGCTTCGTGCCAAATGCGACTTGCATATCGTACAACTAACACGTCTACACCGTAGCCTCGATCCCTCAGGCGTAGACTTCACCATAATCCGCCTGTAGAAACGCGGTTGCTACAGTCAATTCACACGTTCGACCTTCGTTCGACCTTTGCCAGGCTTTGATACATGGTGTCGACTTCGCACCTGAATCGATGGGTTGAACTGCACTGAAGTGCAGTTGTTCGCTCGTGGGAGGAAGATGTCATCTTTTATTTTTCACTATTTCACTGACCAGGAATGCAGATAGTCTTTTAGAATGTCTTCTGGAAAGCGAAAGGGAGATTCAGAGGACTTGCCGCCGGGCAAAAAAGTCCGTGGTGTGAAGGCCGCTACTTGCGATAAGTGGATCTCGGACAATGATGCAGAGCTGACTACTTCCGCCTGGCTGATTTATGACAGGCAGAAGAACGATCGGCTGTTAGCAGAATGTTTGAAGTGTTCCGTGTGCATCAAGTTTGTAGACAGAGTCCGCAGTTGTAAAAACTTCAGCGAGGCTTTCATAACCGGATTCAAGAACCTGAGAACATCAGCGTTCAAGGATCATGCTGGAACGGAGATGCATAAACGAGGAATGAATCTTTTCCGCAGGCAAGAGTGTCCCGCTCGAAATGCCCTCGAATTCGCTCCAATTGCGAAGGCACCGTGCGAGATGGACGATGGTGCTGCCGCTATTGCACGACGCAAATTCGAACTGACCTACCTTCTCTGCAAGGAGCATATCGCGTTCGCAAAATTCTTGACTGCAACGCTTTTTTGTACATACATTTGTCGTCAGTAAATAGTTCAGTTTCTAATACAAATAAATTGGCGAATTGTACATAGTAATGTGTGAGATACGTCCACATAATGAGTCATTGTGAATATACTCCAGTACTACTAAAAAAAAAGAAGAAACACCCTGAAAATGTGTTGTGGAAAATGTCCGGGCATGTCCGGACAGATTTCAAAACGGAAGGACATTTGTCCGAGCTAAATGAAATCCTTAAGCTATGCCCTGCCTTGGTGTATTGAGCACTGTCACGAGCAACCACAACTCTCTCCGTGTGTGTGTGTGTGTGTGTTGTGTGTGTGTGTGTGTGCGTGCGTGCGTGCGTGTGTGTGTTTATCCTCTGGTGCATGCCTCAGCTCATTCTGAAGGCTGTGCTGCAGCCTACTCCCCTCACTGTTGACATGGTGAAGAAAGCCCTCACTAAATACAGCCTTCCGAACCCAAACATCCAAGATCAAGCACAGGTATGGCAGCAGAATGTCGGTTTGAAGACTTTATACGTACGCATACTTTGTGTTGGAGGTACTGCAGTGGACAAAGCCACGCATCTGTAGATTCCTTTGTTGTTGGTGGTGGTGCTGGCGCTGCTGGTGGTGGCGTGTCGTCATCATTGTCGTTTTCATGGTAGTCATCTTCGTCACCGTCGTCGCTGATGCTGTTGTTAGTGTGGCAGGTACAGATACGTTTAAAAGTTAGAGATTTTTCCTACTTTTTGAAAGTGCACCTTGTAATACACCACCATGCAGCTAAAGTAAAGAAGGGACTCCAGACACCTAACCCTGGCTCGTGCATACCCCCCCCCCCCTCCCTCTGTGTCTTGATGTGTGCGTGTCGACTCGCAATACTTCCCTCTCTTACTGCTATTTGTACTGGATTAGGTGGGGGGTAGCGTCCGCCGTGTGTCCCCTCGGGAACGGACACGATACCATACCTACTTTTACTTTATTTTCAATACTGCTATTTGTGCCGTCGTTTGCTCCCAATCACAGCGTCTACACTACATCAAACTATATCACTTCTTCTCGGGCAAATTCCTGCCCTTTGTACAACCAGCGGAGGTCAGCCACGACGTCGAACCTGACGAAGATGCCTCTGCTTTCCTCGGCCTGGATGACATGCCTGACGAAGAGGAGGAAAACGACAGCAGACCACGGTCAGAAGAAGACTTTGACGAGGACGATGTGCCTCGGCGATTTCGCCAGCGGAACCCTCTGGATTCGTTATGAGACATCCTCTGCTTCATTAACTTGTCCATTCCTTTATGTTGTGGGGCCGTTACACACTGCTACATTATGTACTGATAATGCTGAGCTGATCTCTGTCCTTCTGCTGTGCAGATGGATCATGCCGTGGCATGGGCTGAACCCACTCCAGTCGTGGGTATGGCCGGGCTGCACGTGTTCATGGCTACGTGTGTCCTCAGCTGGCTCTGGGGACACAGCTGCTCCTGCGGTCATGTAGCATTGCTGCTGTCAGTAAACTGCTGTTATGTTCCTAGACTGCGGCGTGCAGTCCTGTGCATGCATGGGATCCCCGTGCTGACATGATCTATATGAGCCTTTGTTGCTGCAGCCCTTTTCCCGCCGATAACATTATGAGTTCTTCATTCTCTGTACTACTCTGCAAACCGCTTGATTACGTTTTCTAAATTCAGGTTTGGGATTTGCCTCCTGCTCTAATAACTTTTCTCGCACACGCTTTGAAAGCTAAACTTGAAGATTGCTGTTGCCAATTCCTACAGGTGGAGTCGTAAGATCAGCTCAGTTCCGTGTGCCTTAAACCATTTCATGTACACGTGACCTACTAGTACATGCACTGCATTGTCACTGTCCATGAATGGCATGATTGTGTGTAGCCTGCGAACTACTAGTATGTCAAAAAAAGTATTCTTTCTAGACCAACTTGTCCACCAACTCTTCTACTAGTATGTGCTGCAAGCAATTATGGATTGTGGATACCCCGAACTCGATGAAACGAATTATTACTTGTTGTCGTTTGAGGCATTTCATCCTTTCCTATAATCAAAGGTTATTTGCTCATTCCTTGTCTGAGTTCGATGCTTCAGAATCGTAGTAACAGTTGAGCTTGCGTAGGCTGAGGAAGATTGTGCCTGAAGAGCTCCACTTATAATATAGTGCTCTCCAGGCAAAAACATCACCAGGGATACAAACTTACAGAGACGCTCCGTTTCCAGCGCGACAAACACCTCGCGAACACCAGATAGCAGCTTGAGTCAGTGTCGCTCATGGAGGTGCTGAACAAGCGCTGAGGACCTTTGGCCATTCACAACGTTGTTGCCTCCAAACCATCAGAGTACCTTAAGCAGCAATTTAGAAATATGAAGCGTGATTCCCGTGGACAGTGGTCCCTCCTAAACAAGTTATCTGGCCGAGCCATTGTGAAGTCTACTCCCGTCGCACCACTTCCAGAACTCACAGATACGTTTGCAGCAGGTGTTCATGACCCAACCCGGCTACAAGCACTGCAGATACCTGCTTCGACAGATGCTACCACAACGAGCACCCTGACTGATTTCACCTTAGTAAATGCGGAGACAGTTATGGACATACTGACTAATCTTAACTCCTACAAGTCTGCTGGTTCGGATGGCATTCCTCCATGCATGTTTAAGTCGTGTAAGGCGTCTACTTGCAGCCCCGCTAGCGTCCATTATCAACCAGTCCCTCCTCTCGGGTGTGTTTCCTACAGCGTACAAGCACGCACATGTGTGTCCTCTATTCAAATCCGGAGACAAACTGTCAGCTACAAACTACCGTCCCATATCTCTGTTGCCACTTGCCTCCAAGGTATTGGAGAAAATCGTTCATCGACAGGTTGTGGAGTTCTTTAGTGGCCACAATGAGCTTTCTGCCTTTCCACCGGAACAGTTTGCATATCGCTCCAACCACAGCTGTGAGGATGCCCTTGCTCTCTGCACTGATAGATGGAACCGAGCATTGGACGATGGTCAACAGTGCGCAATAGTATTTGCAGACATGAGTTAGGCATTTGACCGCGTTCAACATCAGCAGTTAGTCCATGAGCTGGCTAATGTTGGGTTACGGGGCACTGTATTGCAGTGGTTTGCAGATTATCTGTCATGCCGCAGCCAACAAGTCATAGTCAATGACGAGCATGGTGAGACTGTGCCTTGTACCAGGGGCGTCCTGCAAGGGTCGGTCCTGGGTCCTCTGCTCTTTTGCATTTATATTCGCAAGGTGCCGGAAATTCTCAAGCACAGACAGCATATCACAACTCTATGCTGATGACATTGCCTTCTTCATCATCGGACTGGACCTTCCTACTATGTTACAGGATCTCCAGGATGATCTAACTGCCCTGGAGGTCCATTTAGATCTGAAGGGGTTCATCATGAACCCCGACAAGACGCAATTTATCATCCTGCAGCGGTCACGCCTGCCAGCAGCGCAGTTGCCACGGCCCTTGACCTGTAAAGGAAAGGCTCTTACCCCTACGAGCATTGCCAAATACCTTGGTTTATTGATAGACGACCATCTCACCTTCCAGCCACAGGTCCAGACATTGTGTAACTCAGTTTTTGCTAAAGCTGCTGCTTTCCGACATGGCCGTAGAAATTTAACAAATGATGCAAAGCGAACATTCTACTTGTCTATTATCCAGTCCACTAGGATTGTGACCGTTAGTCACATAGCAATGAAGAGAGTGTTTGGACTCGATCGTACCACGCCCACTGAACTAGTTCTTCGCTTATACCGCCTCTATTATTTGGAACAGCGTATTAGCCTCAAGCTCTATGTTTTTGTGTACCGCTGCTTGGCATCTTGCTAGTCCTCTTCTTCAGTCTTTGTACAGTACCAGCTTCGGGCAACTGCACCTGGTCACCAGGCATGCACCCGGGGCAAGGCACAAAGAGCCTTAGTTCTCCCACTTGTTTATACGCAGTATGGCATGCGCTCTATTTCTTTTCTGGCGGCAGGCAGATGGAACTCTCTTCCAGCTGACTGCCGACAGGCCCACTCTCTTGCTCCGTTCATTAACATGGTTAAACTTCACCTAGGGTTCCCAGTAAAAAGGCAGTAGCCTGTTGGGACTCCCCTAGTAAAATAATAAAAACAGCTACTACAGCTACTACTATCTAATTCGCAAGCCCGCACTGTGGACAACAATGAGAAGAAGAGGTTGCGACTTCAGCGATACTTGGGGTGAATTCCCCGAAACACTGTGTATTGAGCAGGGAGTGGTGCTTTCTTGCAGGTTTGCGAGTGGACAGTTCGATGGACCTCTCGTGTGCTCTGGATGGCAGTCGTGAGTCAGTCAAGTGAGAATTCAAGTCGGCAGGAGAACCGCGAGCTGGCCATTGCTGACTACATAAATACATCAGCCCAATACTCTCCTCCTCCCCCGCTCCCTCTTTCAAACTGAAACCTTCCGCACTCTGCGAGGAAACGACGACGCCATTGTGAGTAAACCCCACTAGATCGGAGCAGCCGACGACGGATGAGGAAGCCTGCATAAGTACTAGTGTCGTTCAACAGAGTTACTATGATTCCGAAGCATCGAACCCAGACAAGGAATGAGCAAATGACCTTTGATTATACTCAGAGGAAAGCCTGAAATGTCAAGTGAGAATTCAAGTCGGCCGGAAAACCGCGAGCTCCCATGTAGGGAGCAACACACAATTCCCCAAGTATCGCCGAAGTCGCACCAACCTCTTCTTCACCGTGATTGTTCTCTCCAGCGCGGGCTTGCGAATTAGATAGTTTGGAGGCAACAAAGTTGTGAATGGCCAACGGTCCTCATATCAGCGCTTGTTCAGCAACTCCATGAGCGTCACTGACTCAAGCTGCTATCGTGTGTTCGCGACGTGTTTGTCGCGCTGGAAACGGAGCGTCTGTTCAGTTTGCACCCCTGGTGATGTTTGTGGCCGGAGAGCACTATACTTAAGTGGTGCTCTTCAGGCACAATTTTCCTCAGCCTAGTCAAGCTCAACTGATGAGGGGTGAATTCCCCGAAACACTGTGAGCAGGAAGTGGTGCTTTCTTGCAGGTTTGCCGAGTGGACGGTTCGATGGACTTCTCGTGTGCTCTAGTCTGGATGGCAGTCGTGAGTCAGTCAAGTGAGAATTCAAGTCGGCAGGAATAGCGCAAGCTCCCAAGTAGGGAGCAACACACAATTCCCCAATGTAACATTGTTACACTGGCTGATGAGTCTGAAGTCGGCAGGAAACCCGCGAGCTCCCATGTAGGGAGCAACACACAATTCCCCAAGTATCGCCGAAGTCGCACCAACCTCTTCTTAGCAATGACCCTGATTGTATATTGTTCTAGCCAGTGAGTAACCGTGACCGTAGATCTAAGTATTATTATTTATACCGGTATGACTAGGCCCTCTTTGGTCTTTCCATAACCTTGAACCTTCCAAGTTGGAAGGCTGTCGGTTAGCGCTACGGAGGTGTGTTGAAGTTAGGTGTCAGGACGTCGAATGTCTCAGTACTCTGTCAGTTTTGTGCCTAGTTATTGCACTTTCTGACTGTATTATAGTATCATGTTACAGTGTTGGAGAGTTACTCTTAACTCGTATCCATATGTCCTTTTCTCTTTTACCGGTATGACTAATAATATGTTGTTGAATCCACTCTGCAGATCAGCATTGGACCGGGACTCTAGCTAAAATCCTCATAATATTATCACCATTACCATGATTACGTGCTGGGCATGATGCATCATCATGATCTCCTGGCGCACCAATCCCCCATGCACCAGTCCACGCCATGGTGGGGGATTGTGTACTGTACTACTGAGTCTGTCAGCCTCCTTCCCTCTTGCTAGTCTTGGCCTTGGTGTGTATGGCCGGTTGCCGGTTGACCTTGTTCAAGCCCCTGTTTCCACGATTTCATCCCGATAACCGACAAGATCCTGATCTAAACAGGCTAAAGCCAGGATCGATAATAATCATGATAATGATTATGACATGAGGAACCAGTACCAGTACTCGTAGACCCGGGTGCTCGAATGAGAGACAGGGTACCAAAACAGAAACAGCCTGAAATTGTACCTAAACTTATTCCGATTTCGTTTAGATTTCACAAATACCATCAACATACGGCCCGCTAACGGTATGCCAAATTTCAGCTCTGCCCGGTAAACTGTTTTTGAAATACTCACGACCCACTTTTTGTTGGGTCCTTGATTCGAGGATATGGGTGTCCTGTAGGGTGCTGCCAAAGACCTGCTGAATCTGCGGCTCCACTGACCATCTTGCTCTCAAAAACGAAGTAGTAAGTTACTACTCCCTGCCCTCAACTGCCATACCAAGCGTAGACGATGGTAGACCCGTGTGCTTGAATCGGAGACGATCTGACGAGTTTGCTGTTTCTGATTCGAGCACCCAATTTTCAAGTAAAAAATCCGAAGGAAATACGACTATTTTGCTGCGTGCTGTAGCTTGTTTTGTAGCGCACCCAGGTTCTGAATTCCTGCTAGGTGGGTCAAGCCAGACTCTCTTCCTTGTTCCATCGCCTCTCCAAAAGTATATTCTGACATTGTTGAGATTTACAGATGAGAAATTGCACACCTGTCAAATCGTTTCTGATTCGAGCACCCGGGTAGGGTCTACTGTAGTTCCAGGCTTTTTTTTATTCGGTCTTGAATTACGTAGTTGCGCAGGGCTAGGGTAGACCTACGACTTAGTACGAGTTGTAGGCTACGAGTCCATCAGCTCAGGGCAGGCTCAGACAGAGCACCCACGTCCACGTGAGTAGCTAGCTTACAAGTCAGCGCCGGGGACTGCGCGACCTTAGGGCTACACGCACTGGGCAGGGCGCTTGCAAGCGGCGCTGGCCACGCGCGATCTATCGTCAGGGCTAGGTCGTGTACTATCGATAATCACCTTCACTACGCGGCATTCTCTACTCGCTGTTGAGCGTTGGCAGTGTTGCTGTTCATCGCTCGTGTCAGCTCTTTCATACTATCGCCGCTGATCAGCCTTTCTAATAATTCTAGCGTTGAATTTCTCCACTCGAGCGGCGGTGCTGCTATTGCTACCTCTGACCGCGAAATAAGCAATAATACGCCACGTCTACATACCGGCTACTCCTGCCCTGGTGTAGTGCAGCCAAACCGTGCGTGACCCCGTGGCTAGATCATCGGTACTTGGTGGTAAGCCAGAAGGATCAAGGCGACGAGGGGGATGACGGACGAAGATGCCAACTTTGCCGCCGCTGCCGTGAGCAGTTTGTCCTCGGTTGTGTCGATCAGTAGCGCTGGATCGAAGGGTAAACGAAATGGCAGCAGTGGAGGTGGCAGCATACTGGGTTCCAGCCTGCAGCGCACCAGTCGACTGATTGACGACGACGGAATGAGTACCGGCAGTGCTGCGGCGGCAGCTCGCGAGCCACTGCTTCAGGACTCGATGCGAATGAAACACACCAATCACCTGGTCACTGACGAGTACGGGTCGGTTGGCGAGGTGGATTCGACGGTGCAGCACACCCTGTCGTCTGCGAGTGAGAATACTCAGTTCGGTTCGGAATTCTATTCCTCGCGCGAGTACAACGTCCCGCCAGGTCTGGGAGGCATACAGTTTCATTTGGATCCCGACTCAACTACAGTGTCGGGAGAATACGTCAACATTATGGTGAGTAGATTTACATGACTGTGCATGTGCAGCAAGCAAGACTGTATGCGTAATTATGCTGACCTTTCATACAAACTAACTTCCAGTCAACTACTTGCCCATCATGCTGGCGGTTTATACTGGGCATATAAACCTCATACCTCATACAAACCCCATATATACCACCACCACACAAACTCCTTTTTAGAAACAGGAAAAAGTTGACTGTCAGTTTGTATGAAGGTCAGCATAAGTATCATACATCCCACTAGTACGCTTGTACGTGAAATATAAACCATCATACAAACCTCGGCGGTTTGTATGTCGGTTTATATTTCACGTACAACGTACTGTTGGGTTGTATATAAAAAACTACTAGCCACATGACGTCTGTCATGGTTATTATGGCCCACAATCTGGAAACTTTGACTGTGGACCAGGGAGTCGTACTCAAACTAGGGAGGTGACACGGCACAGAAATCCGTGTCACAGGGGTTGACTCGCACCCGTGACCCCTCGTTGTTATTTTTGGAATAGTTCAGTCCAGTCCAATCCGAAAGATCATACTCGGATTGACTCGCCTTCTGTACTTCACCTCCAAGCGTGCAGCATGGGTGTCTAGTTTTTGAAATTATTGAGGCAGCACATTTCGTTTACAGCCCATCACTCGCCAGTATTCTTTGAAAGACTACCAGCAATTTGTTTACCTCCTGCCATGTCCGAACTACTTGATAGCAGTGATGGCAACAGCAGCAGTTATGAGACAGCGTGTAGTGTTACGGTAACTGTTCAGAACTGTTCAGAGTCGTATCCTAGGTTAATCCGAATACTAAAAATTGACCCAAATTGCACATAACACGAAGCTGGTTTTTGAAAATTGTAAGTCGTGTATCTGCCCCATTTCTTCTTTATGACTTGCACAATACACCAGTCTTCCTAAACAACACATTTCTAGCAGGGGTTAAGTACCATATAAGAGAAGTACAGCCAGTGATATTGTCATGTTGAAATACTACAATTTTGACACAAATTACACATAACACGAAGCCAAGTTTTGAAAAATGTAAGTCGTCAATCTGCCCCATTTCTTCTTTATGACTTGCACAATGGTCCAGTCTGCCTAAATAACACATTTATAGCAGGGGTTATGTACCATATTAGAGAAGTACAGCCAATGATATTGTCATGTCTAAATATTACAATTTTGACACAAATTAGACATAACACGAAGCTGGTTTTTGAAAATTGTAAGTCGTGTATCTGCCCCATTTCTTCTTTATGACTTGCACAATACACCAGTCTTCCTAAACAACACATTTATAGCAGGGGTTAAGTACCATACAAGAGAGCTACATTGTACATCTAGTCATACTGTCATAAACAGCCAGCATTTTTCCTGCAGCAGTCACACCACCATCATCATTATTTCCAGGGAAATCCTCTTACATAATCATCATTGTCAGCTCCTACGTCGTTAGATACAATGTAGGGGGCTGTAGGACCGGCTCGTCAAAAATAGAGAACCTGAACAAGCGTGCTCGGGACGTCTCAGCAATCGTAGTATGCTTGAGCACTCCTATAAAAACTTGATCAATGGCAAAATCGTTCCCCACAGAAAAATCATACTTTGCGGGTCTTGCGTTGCACGCTTGGAGGTGAAGTACAGAAGGCGAGTCGATCCGAGTATGACCTTTCGGACTGGACTGGACTGAACTATTCCAAAAATAACAACGAGGGGTCACGGGTGCGAGTCAACCCCTGTGACACGGATTTCTGTGCCGTGTCACCTCCCTATTTTGAGTACGACTCCCTGCTGTGGACCATGCATACGCCCAATCCAGTATAGAGTTTGTGCGATGACATCATTGGTTGAGGTGCTTTGGCGAAGTTGCGGCACAGCGATGCACTAGCGCTAGCGGCTCACGCTGCGGTACGCTGCATATCCATGTATTGTGCCCATAAGCGAATCCGCTGACTCGTGCTGTATGCTTAGCGCTTATCAGACAACCCGCTGAGAAATCATTCGCATAACCTCTGTAGGGAGAATGGTTTGTGAGCTAAGGCATTGCCTAGTTCGTACATAAACTCAGCAGCAATATAATTTCAAAGGATCAGTCGGGGAAGGCAAGATAATGATATAATTGTGTCCAGTAAGTATAGTGGATTGCCTTCATCAGCAGTAGGAGTGCAAACATCATCTCTCCAACTGAATTATCTTGCGACTCACAATCGAATGAAGTTAACTTGGTGCGATTCGTTGGTGCATACGTTTTTGCGCCTTCTTCTTCCATTGCCCCCCCCCCCCCCCCCCGCCACGAGTGCCCATTCTTTAGCCATTCATTAGGCATTCATGTATTACAATTAATTACAAGCAGTGCTTGGTCTGGGCTAGCTAGTCCTGTTAGCGCTACCATGGCTAACACAAGCACAAAGTACTTAGGTGGCTAAGTCACACGTGGCCCACACTGATATGTCACCGTGCATGGTAAAACTGTTCTTCTTGTGCTGTCGTCAGGCCATTGTTGTTTTAGTCTCCCCGGTTAGCCGACTCAAGACACAGGCCCGGCGGAACCGGTCCGGTTGGTCAGGCCATGGCCGGACCAACCTTTTGGCCACCAACGTGTGTTCACTGCTAAGGGGTGATGCGTAGAAAAAAGTTTGGGTGGACAGGAAAAAACAACGTTTCATGCGTACCTGCCATAATTATCATTCGGAAAGTATGAAATGGTATGGTATGACCGGACCAGTCAAAAATTGCTGCAGATACTTTGCGATATCGAACTTCCTCGGCTCCCGGACACACCTCCAATTTGTAAGTTGATAATGGTAATGCTTCAGAGAACTCCTATGCTTGCATGTTCTTGTCTATCTGGTTTGTATTCCACTGCGGCAGGAGGACGATGGAGAGCGACCCACCAGTCCGACAACGCTGGCTTTGCAGAAGTGCAAGAGCACTGTTGTCAAACCGTACCTGACGCTTCTCTCCCTGGTATGTTTGTGCACGTGTTTGTGCACGTGTATGTGTGTATGTGTGTGTGTGTGTGTGTGTATATGTGTGTGTTTGTTGAAATGTGTGCGTGTGTGTGTGTTTGTGTGCGTGTGTATGTGTGCTTGTGTATGTGTGTGTGTGTGTTTGTTTGTGTGCATATTCATGTGTGTGTGTGTGTGCGCGTTTTGCGCGTGCGTGTGTGTGTGTGTGCGCGCGTTTTGCGCGTGCGCGTGTGTGTGTGCGTTTTGCATGTGTGTGTGTGTGTGTTGGGGGGGGGGGGGGTCTCTATGTTACTGGATTTTGCGTGCATCTGCCTGCATGTCTATATGCTGATCCGATTAAGATTTGTCCTATTCTCTCAGCACCTGTGCTGGAGCAATGGCGGCTTCACTTGCGTATACAGTAAATATCGGATATAACGTGCCCCTTTGATTTTCGAAAATGTATCACTATATCCGGTGCATCACTATAGCCGATTTGCATGTTTGACCGACACATGGCACATGACTGCACATGAAATGATGCGTACACGCTGGAAAAAGCATGCTGAAAGTGCATGCATGCTCCGCGGACTGTGTACCGGTGCATCCATGACACAGAGCAGTGCATGGCAGTGCAGTACGAGTACAGACTGTACATGTACTAGAACTTCGATACATCATGTGGCCAAGAGTCCATAACCCAAGAGTATGCAACTGTGATCTCTTTTCTATGGGCCAACCGCGCGGCGCGCTGCCTTCATTACATCATTCAGCTGCAGTCCGCGCACTGCGGAAAATCAAACACCGCATTTTCCCTCTGGTTTGAAATGAACTTTCGTACGGAACTGAAGTTCACGCGCCAAAATTTAGAGATCGCGTAGGTACTGGAACAAATCGAGCAAAAACGGATGGGCTCGGACGAGACATTGTGGGTTTTAATGCATGCTTTCAGAGCGTGATGAAGGCAAGTTACGTAATGAAGGCAGCGCGCCACGCATGCACCCATGATCACAGTTGCATACTCTTGGGTTATGGACTCTTGATGTGGCATGGCTGCTTCTTCAGCGTGTTCTCCAAAAAAAGCCTGAGCTGGATCCGTGCTCACGTAGATCGTAGATCTACTCGGTGTCCAACGAGTTGCGTAGAGCCAGAAATAGACATGAGTGGCTGTGTCCGTGAGTTGGCAACATCATCGTGAGAGGCAACACAGCCAGAAACGGACAAGAGCATGCAGAAAGATCACTCTTGATCATTATATGCGATATTTTCCTGTACATTTGATATGGTTTGCTTCCTGAAGGCCATCACAATAAGCGATATATCGGTATAGCCGATAATAGTGTATATAGTGATATTTTAGCTGTATTTTTTCAGATTTGATTTTGATTTTGACGTGTTCTATCACTATAACCGGTATATCATTATATCCGGTCACTTTATAAACGATACTTACTGTAGTTCTGTAGTGCCCACTCACGAAATGGTACTGTAAAAGCCATTATTCTAACGAGGCGCATATATAACGATTTCCCAAAATTGACTAGTTTATATGTACCAAAGGTAACGATTCTCACTCATTCTCAATGCTCAATAGGACAGTCTATGTATCGATTTCTGTATAACGATTTCTATTTTAACGACAGATTTCTCCTCGTTAACTCGTTAGAGTTAGCACTTCGTTATATATATATATATATATACTCAATCTGCGGACAGCATGCTGTTTCGTTCTTTTTGAACTCATCAGCGCAGCACAGAGAAAATGAGGCCGAACCTGATAGCAATGGAAATAAAAATTTCCAATCAGGCCCGAACGTACCTTGCCAGAGTGCTCAAACTGACAAGTCAGTGAGCTCTGCATAACGCAAACAGCAAAGGCACTACCCCACGCAAGAGTGCTCAACTGCTACAAGAGCAGGAGCGAAATACTCAATCTGCGGACAGCATGCTGTTTCGTTCTATATATATATATATATATATATATATATGGCTTTTACAGTATAAGAAACTCTATTGTAAGTTACCACATGATGTGGAAAATCTCGATTACGTTGGTTGAATATTCGTGTGTGAATTTGCTCTTGTGTCTCTGATCATCAGCTTGGGTGGTTTCCCATCATTCCCGACAACGGGACGCGGAAAGTCGTCAAGGCTATCAACACTCTGTATCCACTTCTGGCAGTGTGTCTCATTCTCTTTGCGTACGTCGTGCAGTTTGCGGCTTGTTTCAGGCGAGATGCGGTGAGTGGTCGCTACAGCTTCGGTTGTGAGCAATTATCGGTGTTTGTTGTTGTTGTTGTTGTTGTTGTTTTGTTTATTTTAATTCGCAAACCAAACGGGCAGATCTGCCCAATGAAAAGGTGGCGAATGCAGATAGAAAGCAATAATTAATGTTTTTTATATAATGTTTGCATTTAGGATAGACGGAATGTTCTGCCTCTTGCCCACCCACTTATCCTATGTACAGTCAAGACTGCTTAGTACGTACTGGTGTGTAGTACGTACTGGTGTGTAGTACGTACTGGTGTGTAGTACGTACTGGTGTGTAGTACGTACTGGTGTGTAAGCCGGACTTTTGCAGCTGACAAAAAATTGGCACACTTGATTGCAGGGCGGGTGTAGCACACAAGACGTACTTTGGGTACCACATACCTTTGGCTATGCCGTACGAGAAGAGCGGCACGGAATGTCAGATGTACCGCGTAGCACGTACTGTTCGAGCCTGCTGAGCTGGGTTGACTGGTGGTACGTGGAGTTCACGGACCAAACGGTCTTTTCAGGGTTTTGACTGTAAACCGAAACGATCAATTTGTGACTGTTTACAGGTGAAAGGTTGCAGAAAGGTATGCTACAACCTTACACTTTGTTCTATAGAATAGTTACATAGAACCAAGTGTCACGGTGGTAGCATGCACTGGCTGCAGTCTAGGTGTACAGTACTGGGGGGGGGGGGCGAAGAACGGCCAGGGTAGAATTTCACCCAGCACAGCATACCTATGTATACACGGTGACTCAACTGTGCATAGGCTGTAATACATGGAAGTAAGAACGGTCTAGGCTAGGAGGCTGCCCCCCCCCCCCCCCCTCCCAGTTCTTCGGCAACCGGCAGTACTCTCAGACCAAATATGATCTTGCACCTAAACTGCACCTGTATGCCCTGCAGCCCACTGTCATGAAACATGTTTACATACCCTGTCTCGTGACTGTAGTATCATTATGGATGTGTGCCCCGTCATGTGGTAGGTTCTCCTGGCAAACGGTACAATTGAGTGCTACTCGAACGCTATCGGCAGCTACCTGATACCCGACGTTCTGCATTCAGCCGCCTACATCTACGCCTTCTACCTATTCCGCTACCAGCAGAGCGAAAACCTGGTCACACTAATGGAAAGAGTAAGGTTGATATCAAGTGACGGTACCATGTGCCCCGAAAGGACATAGGACACATTTGATTACGACAGATAATTATTATGTTATGTCACCCCACCCTTCACTGCCATGTTATTGGGCAATGATCCCGTTTGACTTTGCAAAGTAAAAAAACCCACAAAAAACGTACTTTCTAAGTTTCTAGCCGAGACACCAGTACCCTATGTCCAACCTTGAGTGGCTGCAAAGCAGTATGCAGGGTTCTGGAAACAATACTCTATATCCCATTGCGCGAATCCCAGCATGCTGGACCCGGGTACACAGTATGCTTCTCGTGAAAGAGAAGTATGCTTTGGTCCTTTCCACACGATCATGTGCACGCACAGTCGCACACACAAGTCACATACACCTCTTCCCTCTCTTATAACGTTACCTTATCTCTTCGCTACTTTGTTATTGGGGGAAGAAACTCCCGTTTAGATTGGATGCAGCAGTAGACATGCATTACGTGTTGAAGTACGTCCATTACTGCACGGTTCATTGTGCTTTCCCGGCTCAGTCCCAAGCTGGTCTTCTTTGTCAACGATGTCATGATGATGTCGTAATGTGATTGCTACACTGTGCATGACTATTCAGGTGTTTCTGCAATCGTCCGTCGGTCAATCAGGATACATGTCTCAGGACAGACTTATAACACGTTTGAGGTGAGTTGAGTCGGGTAGCTGTGTGATGTAAGTTCCCAGGCGCATGCGCCGGTGCCCTTCGAGGGGGTTCCGGGGCCTCCCCCGGGAAAAATTACCAAAAATGAAGCAAAATCCTGCATTTTGAGCGAAAAAAGGGGGGTTCCGGGCACCCAGGAACCCATACGGGGCACGCGCCTGGTTCCACTGTTCTTACTTGTCAGGCTGTGCCCGGCTCTCCGTAAGGTGGTTAGTGGTGGGGTAAGCTATAGTTGTTTCACTTATTTCGTGGACATGTGGATCATTTCACCTGCCAAAAATACTGAACTGGAGCTTAGGTGAGGATTGGAGATCAGTTGTGAGCATTGCTGTTATCCTTGTCCTCCTCCTCCTCCTCTTCCTCCACATACACTTTCTTTATAATAATTATGTTGAAATCCACACCAGTACTGGGGCCTCCAGTTGCATGCAGTGAGTAAAGAAGGTTGTTGTGATGAAGCGGCCCATCTAGCTTGTCTCAGTCTCAGTGCCGACTACATTACCCGGCACTGGCTACAGCTTACATAACATCTACCTCACAATTAACGTCACCTTTCTCATGCACGATCGATCGGGGGTCATTATTCGCGAAGTTGACGGGAGTCTACTCTAACCTGTCCAGCATGGCACTGCTTGTGAATGGACGGTGTAGTGTTTCGATGCCCACCTCCCCCCTCCTGCCACTCTAACCTATCCAGCCTCTGGTCAGCTGAGGGCAAAAAGCCTCACCATCACAATGCTCCCACTCTGCAATTTTTTGTCTTTACCTGCGAACTGTGATCCTTGCAAAATTAAAAAAAAAAAGCACTGCACTGTTGGCAAGCCGGTGGACATGATTGTGCTGTTCTTCATGCCCGCACCCTCCTAACCCTGCAGGTACATGCTGCGTTTCAACATCCTCTGGGTAGTGCTGTCCCTCTTGTCGCAAGTCATTCACGTAGTGGGCATTGCCACGGATCACGATATCGACAACGTCATCATATCGTTCACCTGGATGAATGTCAGGTGAGTGTACAAGTATGTGTTTCAAGGCAGCAGGCTTGCCGTGTATACATGTATTTCATACCCCAAACTGACCAGGCCAAACCTGCCCCGATGGCCTATTGTAGCCCTGACATACATCTTCATACAAACAAGTACAAAGTTGAATGTGACATGTTGTCTCCCAAGATCGGGTGGGGCTCATATCAGGTGGGGCTCTGGCTCTAGAGGTTTCGTACCTTTTTCGTTTGGATTGGCTGTGTGAATTGCTCTATATTCTTTAGTAATCCGTACTCGTTGTAACTGCTCGCAAAACATGCGTGCCTTCACTGGGGGCAGGGGTAAATGCAGTTGGGTCCTGGGACGGATGCCGTCAATCCTTTTCTGCACATTGTCCTCACCGACTTACTGCGGTGCGGTGAGCCCATAAGTGGGGCCACGTTTTTAAAGTCCACCGAAGGTTGGGGATTTTGGGATATTCAGTCGCCGGGCGGTTCTATAGCCAATTGAGTTATTTTTCCGAGGTTTCTTCAGATCTCTCTCCCATTTCCCCAGGGGAGACCCATGGAACCAGTTTCTGGCAGTGAGCAAGTACAAGTACAAGTGTGGGTGTAATGCACGCATACGCGTGCATGCACACATGTAACCGTTATCTGTGTGTATCACGGTGTGTGCACGCACATGTGTGTGTGTGTGTGTGTGTGTGTGTGTGTGTATGTGTGTGTGTGTGTGTGTGTGTGTGTGTGTGTGTGTGTGTGTGTGACTGTGTGTGTGTGTGTGTGTGTGTGTGACTGTGTGTGTATGTAACTGTGTGTGTGTACGTGCACGCATGTGTGTGTGTGTGTGTGTGTGTGTATTTGCGCCGGACTGCACACCTGACTTCTCCCTTTCACAGGACGTCAGCTGGTCAAGTGAGCCTGATCGTTCTGATGCTGATCGGCTTCATCGCACTGGACATTGTGTACGCTGCCATTGTCATCAACTATGCCACTCACTGCGAGCTCTTGATTATCATGATGCGTAGCATGAGCACACGAGCGTTGCAGAAGGTTGCTTCACTGCAGGAAGTTATGCGCGTAAGTTCAGCAGACTATAAGGGGACATGGTGATTACATTACAATTGAAAGTACTCTAATTTCAGAAATTTTCGGTGCTCAATATTTTCGGTATGAACGCAACAGGCTAGGTTAGGTGAACAGAAATGTTCGGTACAGAGCAGCAGTTCCCTATTGCCAGTATTGGATTATGTGTGTTAGTGATCGTTCGGTGTATTGAAATTTTAGGTATGAAACAGACGCACCGAAAGTACGGAAAATAAAAGTGCACCGACAATTTGTGAAATTACAGTATCACGGCTTTTGGCATGGTGCGCCAGTACTATTCATGGTAATCCTATTGTATGGTAGGTAACCATGGTTCCAGCCAATCAGCATCCGATCTGAGCGGGGCATATAGAGTGAAATACCCCGCTGGGGTCAAAAATAGACCCCGCTTGGTTTACTCGGTTCGAAAATATACCCACTCGGTTTACACGCGGGTCTCGCCAAGAGTAAATAAGGGAGGTTTTTAGTGTTCATCACGCTCTCATGATTTGGTACAGTACCATGGGATACATGAATAACAGTAAAACCTGTCAATGCCACCACTCGGATAAGGCGGCCACCTGTACCAGGGGACCACTACAACCAGGACCAAGGCATGCTACCTCCAGTCAAATGACCCTGGATAAGAAGACCACCTGTACACAGCGACCACATTTCAAAGGTGCCTTGAACGGTCGCCCTGGACAAGTTCCACTGTATAACATGTTGTACTTTCCCAGTTGGTTACATGTATCTGACATGTTATGTGTGGTGGATGACTGGTACACTATACTATGTTGCTGTCACGATGACTGGTAAGGGCTCACAGGCCCATGGCCTAGTCCGAATTGCTGGGTTGCGACACATAGAATAGTCCAAGGGGAGCTCGCCAAATTGGCTCGGAGCAACATCGATATGCTGATTTGACAGAAAATGCTGTACACAGTTCTACAGATGCAGCTCCTGATTACTGATTTTCTTCTCCCACTGGTCGAGTTTGGATGTGCTGTTTAACATGTGTTAGCATTGACCTGACTGTTAATTAACCGTGCCGTTCTATCTGTGAACCGCAGGAGATTATGACGGCTCAGAAATATCTCAAGTACATCAACGAGAGCGTGGCCACTGCCGTGTCACTGCTGATGTTCAATTTCGGAGCAGCTATTGTCATCGGTGAGAAGCCGCACTGAGCTATTATTGTTGTAGTGGGATCTTTCATTGACAGTGGGAATAGGTGGTTAGCTCTCACATCTAAATTTCAAGAAGAGAAACCGTGGCCTCCCAGTTAGTTCTAAGAGATAGGAAGTCTTCAACAATTCCTTCAGTTCAGGTACACCGTAAGGATCACACCTGTGTGTCCACTGTCCAGTAGATGACCTGTTGCCTTGAAGGGTGGCTTGAAGTATCACTTGATTGGAAAACTGATTGGGACTGGACAAGTCACGGTGTACTAAATGTGGAGGCGTCCCTTGTTGAGAGGTGTCCTTTGTTGAGCGGTGTCCTTTGTTGGGAGGTGTCCTTTGTTGAGAGGTGTCCTTTGTTGAGAGGTGTCCTTTGTTGAGAGGTGTCTGCTAAGGGTTCTACGGCGATAGCTCTTCATGGCAGAGACAGCTTTCTACACAGCTGCAGTCGGTTATGTATTCCCAACTCTCTTGTATGTGGCCCTTTTGTTCCTCTCTTCGTGACTTGATTCACCATGCCTCCTTTTTCACCATTGAGAGCATTCTCCAAATTCTGTTTGGCACACCCTGTCTATCGATACCGCCACCACTCCTACCTCACTGGCCCTCAGGAGTATGAGGGTTTGTAGAAAAATCTGGTGAACACTCTTTGCTTCCGCACCGGCTTCTGTGTGTGTGTGTGCGCACGTGTGCGTGTGTGTGTGTTTCAAGTTGTGTGTACAAATTCCATGAAAAGACTTTTCAATGGTTCATTTTATTCTGCTCCTGTGTTGTTCGTGTGTGAAGGTGTGCAGTCTGCAGTAAGCCAGAACAACAGTAGGGATAGTGACTTGGTTAATGACACTCTCTTCTCTGCCACCATCATCAGTTTGATCCTGTGGTTGATTATGTTCATGATCCCGCTTGTTCAGGTGAGAATTTGTGTGTCGCCCTGTCTGCATGTCCGTCCGTCTGTACCTCCGTCTGTTTGTCCATCTGTGTGTGTGTGTGTGTGTGTGTGTGTGTGTGTGTGTGTGTGTGTGTGTGTGTGTGTGTGTGTGTGTGTGTGTGGTGTGTGTGTGTGTGTGGTGTGTGTATGTGTGGATTCTTGTTATCCAATGATAGCTTACTGACTGCGCTCCGCATCATCGTCACGTGCAGGTCCCCGCTTTCAATAGAAATGCAATATTTTTCATTTGTAACGAAGTACCCTTACTGAAGTGCGCTGTGCAGCAATGCACTGTGTTGTTCATAATACTATGTACAGCAATGCACTGTGTTGTTCATAATACTATGTACAGCAATGCACTGTGTTGTTCATAATACTATGTACAGCAATGCACTGTGTTGTTCATAATACTACATAGCCAGCAATCGCATGTCATCTCGTACATTGAAAATCAACATAATTTTGCGAATCGACCTTTTTTTCAGGATCACTTTTCAACGAGGACGAAGCAAAGTCGGCCGAACGAAGCCTAGAGGAAGAAAATCACCCTCTCCACTTCACCATCACGATACTGACATACATACGAGATGAAACAACTAAAAAATTCACAAGAAAACTGTACGACCATCATCGCGCTGACTTTGGTCTGACTTTGGTCTGAGAATTTCTATCACGATCACAAATGTACGAGGAGCAATCAAAAATCAGCCACAGACGTACCTTTATCGCTCTCTACTCCTTTTTCAAGGCACAAAAGTCGACTCTCCACTTTCAAACCAGGAACCAGACATACCAGTGGTCCTTTTCAGCTGCTCCACGAGCGCAGGAAATGTTCACCAAGGGGCGCAGAGCAGCATCCATTCCAGAAAAATAGCTAAAATACGAGTGAGACTGCATGCCTGAGTACATGAGTACATGTATGAGTACATGCAGAAAATAGTCAATTTCAGCGTTTCTGCTCCAAACAGCAACTAGCTTCGACTAGAAACAAAGATTACACCAAAGGATCAAACAACAACCATTTTCTGCAGTTTTTTTGCAGATGGCTTCCTTGTGCTTGGCCCAGCACGCCAAAAATCACACCTCGGAGGAGTACAAACATTACAACTCTCAGATGTCCTTGATTGCTGGCCATGATGTACAGCAATGCACTGTGTTGTTCATAATACTATGTACAGACATGTACAGACACGTAAATGTACATTAAAACCTGTCACAGCGACCACTCACGTAAGGCGACCACCTGTCCCCGGAGAAGGCCACTGCAGCCAGGATCAAGGGCTGCTATTTCCAGTAAAATGACCCTTGCTAAGGAGACCGCCTTGTTACGGAGACCACACGTTGAAGGTCCCTTGAGCGGTCGTCTTAGACAGGTTTCACTGTGTACCGGACACTGATACACGCACATGTGCATGTGCATGTGCAATGTGTCCCTGTAGGCTGCTCGCCTCAGTACGGCCTGCTGGTCGCTGGGCAAGATTGGACAGGAGGTAGCTACACGACCATTCGGCTTTCAGAACACCGGGCAGGATGAACTGAACACATTCCTCATGTTCACAACCTCTCTTCAGCTACGGGTAAGAACACAGAACTTACTTCAATCTCCAGGTTATTGCTTCTGACAAGTAAATGTTTTGCTATGTTGGTGCTGAAGTGGAAGCTTATAAGGCCCAAGTAATGGCGTTCGTCAGGTAACACAGCACCATTTTTGATATTTCTGTTAGGTTTCGGGCACATTATTTCTGTTTCTTATCTTTATCCAAAGGCGGAATTACATTAAAACTGCTAGCCGGTCGCAAGGGAGAATCAACGATCTCAGTTGATTTGACCTTGCTGAGATATTCGGATAATCTTTGGAGATGATGATTATTCAGAACTTCCCTTCTCTCTCTCTCCGTTTGTGCGCAGGCGAAGCTCTTCCGTATTCCAATTCGGTCGGCACATCTGCTGATCGTGCTGGTGGCTGGCGGGTTCGCGCTCATGGTACTGCTCACAGTCTCCCCGCAGCTCTTCCATCTCAAGTTCTGAGCACGCTCAGACTAAGCGTAGATCAAGCTCAGATTAACCGCGTGGAGAGTTCACCCTCGGCCTCCACCAGGATGTTCTAGAAACCGCACACGTCACCACATCCCAGTATCCAAGTCTCTATCACTTACTTGGGCAGAAGTGCATCGTGGCCACGAGAAACCCGTAGGGTATAGCTTGGGCAAGGATGAAGAGGGAACTTGAGGCATGCTGCCCAATTAGACTGTATTGGAGTGATTCAGATTATCACAACGTTGAGCTTCATCTTGATATGGGTGACCATTCCCGGCGAACAACCACACTATTGGTGCCGCGATGGTGGTCACGGACGGACTGCAGTGGACTTCAAGAAGCCCTGGATTCGGCCAGGGACCATCATGTGTATTTCCTTTCCTTTTCACAAACTGCTTGAAATCAGCCCACGTAGTTGTCTCTCTTGACCTGAAGAGTAAGTCAGACAGAAGGATGGCATCAGTATACCGTGTAAGAGAAGTGAAACACAACTGACTGGTCTAGGATTACATGTACATGTATATGCAAGTAATTAGTTCCAATAAGGAAACGAAAGGGTATCGCGTGCAAAATTGATAGATCCCAACCTTTATTGGTCTTGAACTGTGATTATCGGATTTGATCTATATCTCTCATACTTGATTCTTTTTGCTATTTGCTTGATAATTCCTTCTCTATTCGCACAAAGTATTGGCATGCGAGTGACAAAATAATTATTTTGAGGCTGGTCAAGGCTGGCAAGACTATTTCTGCATTTGTAGAAAACTGTCGAGCAACTGACTGGAGCAAATCCTCTTCAAGTGCGAATATATATAATTCGAGTATTTTGTTTTGCCAGGAATAGGACGTTTCACCCTCCGATACGAGGTCCGCTGAGCCCGTACCGTGCCTGCCGAGCCTGCGCCCATAACGAGGTAAAATCGTTGAAGAGAATACAACAACAAATCTAGATTGGTGCTTCTTGTTGGTGATGCTAATTGCTGGCCGAGTTGATTTGTTTTGCGATTCGAGAATCCAACAAGGCATACATATACAATGTAGTATTAACTGGTTTGAGGGGAAGAGACAAGCAGGAAAAGTCTGAAGAAAAAATTGACTGTCACCACCAGTATTATACATGTATAATTGTGGGTGCCATATTTCCATACATGCCAGCCTGGAGGCTTGAGTTCCCTCGATGACGAGGCTGAATTCCCTTGATTTTGACCGTTTTCCCTGCACACCAATTTTTTTAGCGAATCCATCATTACGAAATGTATTTTCATGACTGCTGCTCAAGCAGAAGTGATCTCATTGCATTGAGCTGCAATTGCACAAGTAAACTTTCTGTCGGATACCATTTTTCCGGCGATCCGTTGCAGTTTTTTTGTCTACTACGTGCTGTGTGTACTTACAACTGATCTACAAGTTCGAGAAAACACTGAAAAAGCGTCATAAAATAGGAGAAATTCAATTTCAAAAGTTCCATCTCAATCCCTGGACTTTCACATGATATCCCCGGACCCCGGGACAAACACCCTATTCCCTGGACTGTCCCGGGAAACCCTGGACGGTTGGCATGTATGTATTTCACGGTCGGCCATTTCAGCAGTATCATGGCCTTGGTCTTATCATTCAGATAGCCAAGGACGTATTATAAACTCTTGTAGTATGGAAGTTTCAAATGTTTCACACGGTGAATAAAGCAAGTTAGGTGCGCATTCAATACACACACCATTTGCGCAGGCCAGGTTTCCTTGAACCGGCCATTGTCATTGAGATGGCATGGCAACGAAAACGTTCAAGGGACATCTAACCTGCGCGAATGGTGTGTGTATTGAATGCGCAATTTGCTTTTTTTTAATGCCTTGATTTCATTTCTGTCTCCACGAAACTGTGTGTAGAACTGTGGGTGCATGGACATACGGTCGTTGAGAGCAGGTGGTCGCTAAACCCAGCCAGAGGACGCTTACATCAGGTTTTACTGTATTGATGTTGCGGGATGTGAACACACCATGGGCATGGTACTGCTTGAGCAGGTGCAAGCTGTTTCTGTGCTGTTTGGATGCCGACATTGCAATTATTGGATGTGATCTGGAGGTCTCCCATCAATCAATGTGACCGTAGAGATGTTGTCGCTACCTACATGTACATGGTATTACAAGGAGGAAAACTTCCTTCTGCCAGCGGAGAGGGCTCGACACAATAATGTGGAGCACTATTACACACAAAAAGGCACAACGGAGGTTTACAGAGTTGTCGCAACTCAGAGTTTCTTGCTCAATGCAATCATCAGGCGACTATTACATGCTCAGTGGGACTTGGCCAATATAAAGCATAGCCTAGCGATGGCTGGTTGGTGTCTGATTCAGCACAGAAAATATGGCAATGCTGGCCGCGTGGATGGTTGCTTAGGTGAGGGAGCTATTACAGTATTAGCGCAGAAAGTATAGATTGTTAGTGAATATAGAAACGGAAGGTGTGAATTTGTAGACAGCAGCCAGACCAGGGTGTGACGGTAATCCTTCAGAACTGTTTAAAAAAAGTGTTATTGGTGATGCGGAGGGCTCTACAGAAATGTAGGCTCACGTGGGTGTGCTCGCTTCAGATCGTGTCACAGTCCACTGTATGTTTGTTTTGCAAGTGCACGCAGGTGTGTATGTGCATGTACATGACTGTATGTGTGTGTGCATATGAATGTGTGTATTGGGGTGGTTGCACACCTGTGATTATGTCACGGCTGCACTGTGGCTTTTGAGTAGGAATTAGTTATTTGTTGGCGTGGCGGCATTTAGATACAAGCTCACTCCTCTTGTTCAGTAGTAACGTCGCTATGGTTTATTTTCTGTCACTTTCCTTGGCTCTGACCGCTGGAATGCCCTCCCAGCGGAGGTCCGCTCAAGTTCTTCCTTGCATACCTTCCGTAATTCTGTTCTTCATTTTTTAGGGTACCCTGTCAAAAGGCCTTAGGCCTGTGGGGATTGCCCTATCAAAAATTTAATAATAATAATAATAATAATAATAATATGTAAAAAGGCGACGTGGAGACAATAATCTTAATAATGCAATGAATATAACTAAATGCGCACTCATATCACAACCATGGGGACGAATCATGTATTCCAGAACGTTTTCTTGTCACAATTATTAATGGAATTCGTGACTAAAGAGAATGATGAAACTACAATAGGATTTATACACTTGCAGTGGAACATTGTCACACTGCACTTGCTGAATTTCCTATCATTTCTCACCTCACCTATAGTTTATTACCTGTGCAAATTGTTCCTAGGTTTGTGCTATTTTTCTTACTATGCTTGTATCCTCGCTGTTCCACTGCAAGTGTATAAATCCTATTGTAGTTTCATCATTCTCTTTAGTCACGAATTCCATTGATAATTGTGACAAGAAAACGTTCTGGAATACATGATTCGTCCCCATGGTTGTGATATGAGTGCGCATTTAGTTATATTCATTGCATTAATAATAATAATAATAATAATAATACACAGAGGCAATATGCTTTGGTTCTGCAAGAGTGCTCAATGCCTGATTCAGGCAGAGCGGCGTACACAAAGGCACACAATGAAAACCTTGGCAAATTTATTCCGTTGTGACTCCGAGTTTCATGGCTGAACCAATCATCAGACAACGATAATGGAATAGGAGGCAGCGCTGGTATATCTAAGTGGAGAGAGGTGTGATAATATGATAGCGAGAGGAGTAATCGCGTGAATGTATACAGGGACGGGCTATTTCAGAGGCAGATGCAGTAGGCGCAGGTCTAGCACTAACAAGTACTAACACGCACACACATAGTAACACCCACACACACATACACACATGCACGCACACACTAACACACACATACACCCACCCACAACACCCTAACTTGCACATGGGCGCACGCACACACAGGACACCCACCCACCCACAACACCCTAAACTCGCACACGCACAAACACACGCACACACGCATCTACACACACCTATAGACACATGTCCACACGTATACACAGGCATCTGCGTTCGTATGACAAATCTAAGCGCACACAAACTCCTGCAATCACGCGTCAAAAAAACCCGCAGCGGTCATAGCTGTCTATGTAATAGGGGTGGCCAGCAGAAACTTGCGCTGGTGAGACCCGAACCCGAAAACCATGACATACAAGGATGAACCGAGCAACAAGAAGAAAAAAGCGAAGAAAGGGCGCAGCCGCGACGTCATCTGGTTTAACCCGCCGTACAGTACCACGGTCAAAACCAACGTTGGCGCAAAGTTTCTATACCTCGTCAAGAAACACTTCCCTGAAGGGTCGGCGCTACACAAGGTGTTTAACAAGAACACAACAAAAGTAAGCTACAGCTGTATGAAGAACGTAGCGTCGATTATCAAAGGGCACAATGCTGCAAAACTTCACTCGCGACCGCCAGTTGTGCCATGCAATTGTCGGGTCAAGGCGTCGTGCCCCCTCAACGGTGACTGCCAGTCTTCCGACGTCGTGTACGAGGCGCATGTAGCATCCAACGAAGTCAAGACCTACGTCGGCATGACTGCTACCACATTCAAGCAGCGCTACAACAAACACACTTCGGACTTCCGCCATGAAAAGTACGCCGCATCGACTAAGTTGTCCAAGCACATCTGGGATCTGAAAAACGAGAACCGCGGATTCGACATCAGATGGGAGATCAAGGATAGAGCACCTTCGTACAGTAACATCAGCAAGAAGTGTGGCCTATGCTTAACCGAAAAGTTCCACATCCTGAAAGCTTCAAAAGCTACCTCCCTAAACAAGAGAAGTGAGCTGGTATCTAAATGCCCTCACCAGCGCAAGTTTCTGCTGGCCACCCCTATTACATAGACAGCTATGACCGCTGCGGGTTTTTTTGACGCGTGATTGCAGGAGTTTGTGTGCGCTTAGATTTGTCATACGAACGCAGATGCCTGTGTATACGTGTGGACATGTGTCTATAGGTGTGTGTAGATGCGTGTGTGCGTGTGTTTGTGCGTGTGCGAGTTTAGGGTGTTGTGGGTGGGTGGGTGTCCTGTGTGTGCGTGCGCCCATGTGCAAGTTAGGGTGTTGTGGGTGGGTGTATGTGTGTGTTAGTGTGTGCGTGCATGTGTGTATGTGTGTGTGGGTGTTACTATGTGTGTGCGTGTTAGTACTTGTTAGTGCTAGACCTGCGCCTACTGCATCTGCCTCTGAAATAGCCCGTCCCTGTATACATTCACGCGATTACTCCTCTCGCTATCATATTATCACACCTCTCTCCACTTAGATATACCAGCGCTGCCTCCTATTCCATTATCGTTGTCTGATGATTGGTTCAGCCATGAAACTCGGAGTCACAACGGAATAAATTTGCCAAGGTTTTCATTGTGTGCCTTTGTGTAATAATAATAATAATAATAATAGTGTTGTCTTGTCCGCGGTGATGATCTGCAGTTTTTCTTCTAGGCAGAGAGAGGCTTCACTCACTTGAGAGTGACTGTACTCACATCACAGTCACGTTATCCACATCACCATGATCACGAGGCTGTACTGGTATACTTACCCTGGACCTGGTCCCTGGCCGAGGGTGGTAATCAGTGGTAGGCGCCTGACCTGTCACGTGACGTCTGAGTGGGTGGCCACAGGCGTATGCATAGGGCATAGGCATAGCTAGCTGTGTCTATGCTATGGGCCATGGGGTTGCGCCAGTGGCCAGTATCCAGGTATGCGGGTGGCCATAGCTGTGTCTATCCGGGCTTGCGGCTGTGGCCACAGTCTCCACGGCAAAAACGCCCGAATTCCAGGATGGGACGACCTATCCAGGGCGGACCTCGTGTTCGCTCTCCGTAAGCAGGGCCAGGGAGCCAGCGCACCAGCCAGAGGAGC